AGTATAGCTGTGTTTGTTCTCCCTGCCTCCCATCCATTCACATCTCTGAGCTCACCTTCTGCCATCTCTCTCCTTGGATAGTTGCTAGATGTTTTCTTCAGGGTCAGAGCCATAGAGCCTGCAATGTGCAAGCCTGCCCTGGTGGTATTTTAATATCCATTCTTGCAGGTGCAAAGGTACCCTTGGCATTTAACTCAGTAAATCTCAACCCAGAAGGGGAATGAGGCCTTTAAGGCATGTATAGAAAGCCATGCTTCAGATGGGTCTCCCCCATCTGACTGTCCAGTAGCAGGAGAAAAGGCTTTTTCTAGGTTTCTCTGGACATCCTAGCTTCAGAAGAAAGTTTAGAAAGCCAACTATTTTTAACAGAGTGAGTGGCCTTGGCATCAATCAGAAAATTCAAAAGCTGATTTCCCACGGTCATGGTCACCTGCGGTTCCATATGGGGATATTGATGGATGCAGGATTGAGAGGAGGTCCTGGGCCCTGTCATTCTTGTTAGCTGTCATTCTCAGCTCACACACCTGATGTGCCACCTGTTTACCTTCAAGAATCTTATTTAGGATGTGACAGTCTTTTCCAGGGTCCCTCCTGTTGGCAGTATGCACATTGAGGGGTCCCACTGTCGAGTGCCCCATTCAAGTGGAAGTTCGGGGCTTGAGGCCTCCCACCTTGTGCTGAGTCCCTTGTGAGGCTCCTCGATTTGGTCTAGCTCTTCCCAGTGTTAAGGCAGCAGCCAGCTCCACAGCCTGTCTCACTCTCCACTGTTCTCTTTTCTCTTGAACATGGTTCCTGCCGTTAAAACCTTTGAAGGCAATTCCAGCACGTTGAGACACAGGTATTCCTAAAGCCCTTTCCACCTTTTCCAGTTTCTCTGTATATTGAGGTTGCTCTCACCAATAAAAGCCATTAACCATTTTTTAAAATTCTCTGGGGTCTTAGCATCTGTATCTGTACATTGCCTATAGGCTTTAAATACTCTTTCTAGAAATTCTGAAGGTTCTTACTCAGTTTCTGTTTTACCTCCCTGATTCTATTAGGACTTCTTTGTTTTGACCCTGGGTCCTGCAAGAATGCAATCTTGATAATGTTCAGAATTCAAGCCCCAATTAGGACCCACTGTTGGTGTAGCTATGCTTGCAGCAGCACATACTGAATTACCAGGGGTTTCTGTATGAAGCCCATCTGCCTCCTCCTAGCTTTATTCAGCACCATTCTATGTTCTGCTGAAGTGTGGGTGGTATTTAATAAACTTTCAACATCTGCCCAGATTGGGTTGTGGGTTGCAGAAATTGAAAAGACACTTTTCATTTTCTGTGGGTCATCTCTGTAAATTGGCGTGTTTTTTGTGTGTTTGTGTGTGTTTTTTTTTTTGACTGTGCTGTGTGGCATGCAGCATTGTTGTTCCCTGACTAGGGATGGAACTGGGGCCCCCTGCAGTGGAAGCGCAGAGTCTTAACCACTGGACTCCCAGGAAGTTCTGGCATATTGTTCTTCTGATTAATTAAACCTGAAGTTGAAGAAAGAGTGGAATGAAATCAATGCCATCAACTGCCCAGTCTCAGCATTTACACCCTCATTGTGGATTTGCCTTAATTGTAGGATTGCCCTACCTGAGTTTGGGTGGCTCCCTGGTGGATATGATTGGACTTCCCTGGTGGCTCAAATGGTAAAGAATTTGCCTGCAATGCAGGATACCTGTGTCCAATCCCTGGAGAAGGAAATGGCAACCCATTCCAGTATTCTTGCCTGGAGAATTCTGTGAACAGAGGTGCCTGGCAGGCTATAGTCCACGGGGTCGCAAAGAGTTCGACACTCAACACGACTGAGCAACTAACTTTCACTTTCTGGTGGATATGAGAGGGGAGACCATTCCTATTTCTTGATTCTCTGAGACAGGGGCAACTGTGGTCCAGAGGCTGTGGCTTGGGCACTGGCAGGGAAGGAGTAGCAGCCCCATCACATGGGGGTGGAGGAGGAACAAGCAGAGTGTTCTACTGAATTAAAAGCAAGTCCTCTTTTTAATTAGGATCAGGCAGAACAGCTTTCTTTGCCTTCCCTTCCTATTGAACTGTAGTCTTATTTTCTTTGCACAGGTTTATTCCGATACAATGACATAAAAAAATTACATTAGATTTTCGTCATACTTTTCTTCCTGCTTAATAAATAAGTCTATCTGCAAAATTGTATTATGATTTAAAGATCCATTTTTAGGCCATTTTGTTCTTGAGCCTAAAGCCAAGCTGTGCTATCAAAAACTACCATCTTCTTCTCCATGGACTCATAACTGAAAGCTCCCTAGTTTTGGAGAATGCAGCCTAGAAGGCTTGAAGAGGGAATTGAATTAACATTTTTGATTTTGAAAGCGCTTTACTTCCAGGTGGTCACAACAACCAAGTCTTTCAACCACTGCTTACTGTGGTCACCAAGAAGCTTAGTCCCCAATAGCCAGTTCTTAATAAGTGACAACCTGACATAGATGTGGACAAACAAGACCAAGCCAAAACCAAGGCAAAACCAAAATAAAATGAGACAAAACCAGGAGTCCCCAAGCCTTTAACCCATTGTCTGCCACAGTTCCACCAGGTGGGCCTTTAACCCATGATCTATATGGTCAGTCTTACATAGGTATACTTCTTTAACAAGGTTTCTCACCCAAAGACAGCTTCCAAACCCCAAAGCCACTTCTTTGCTACACAACAAAACTATATGCTAGAGGTCAGTGGCCCCTCCCTGAGGAAATTGGGGTGGGTAGCCCTAGGAACAAACGGCCCAGGAAGCTGCTTGAACTTGCTCACAGGCTCTCAATACAGGCAAGGGGCTGACAAACAATGGGCAGAGCCCCCTCTGGACTTCTCTTCTGGCAGGCTCATCAAACCTGTTACCAGATCAGGTTCACCCTCCCTGAAGAATAGCAAGCCAAAATACTGAGACGCCAAGGTTTGCAGCAAACTGAGGATTTATTTGCAATGCAGCCAAGCAAGGAGACAGGAGAAGGCATCTCAAATCCACCTCCCCAGTGCAAGAGATACGGGGTACTGATCTAGGATAGCAAAGAAACAGGGCGATTGGAGGACGAGGGAATGTGGGGAAAGGTGACTGGGAAAAGATGCAAAAATCCTCATTCTGCACAAGCGTAACTAAGCTACAGGCCTCTGCCTGTTCAAAAGGTCACTTGTGCCTGCCTAGTTGAGGCGTCTGTGGTTAAGAGTCTGAACTGGCTGGCCCATCTCAAACAGTACATAGCTAACTCTTAAATTTCTGGAAAACAACTCGGACCAATATCTCATTGTTTAGGCTACATGCAGATTGCAGGACACGCAAGTCTTTTGTAGCAAGTTAAAATGATTAGTGAAGGCAGGTTACAGATGAAATGGATTTGACTGATGATTTCCCATGGTTGCTCTCCTGACAGATCCTGAAAGATCTCTAAGTTAAAATTTAGCTCCATGTTGCAGAGCATGGCTCTAGAATGCTCAGGCTTCAGTATTTGCATCTCCCAGGTTTTAGAGCACAGGCTTAATAGTCGTGGTGCACAGGTTTAGTTGCTCCAAGATACGTGGGATCTTCCACGTTCTGCAACAGGAGAAGCCACTGAAGTGAGAAGCTGGCACTCTGCAACTACAGAGTAGCCCCCTGCCTGCCACAATTAGAGAAAAGCCTGTGCAGTAATGGAGACCCAGCACAGCCAAAAATAATGAATGAATTAATTATAAATAAAATTTAGCTCTATGCAATTACATTATTTTCCACACATATTTGAATTCCTAATGATGTCTATTCTCTGTGGAACAGGAGGCCTACCTAGAACCAGGAGTACCATATCTGTGTCTCTCTGTGGCCATTATTGCAATGACCCCCAGTGAAGTGTCTTTCAATAGTTCCTTCATTCTCACTTGTATTCAATTTTATTTCACCAAGCTCCTCTGGTTTTATTTCCTAAAGCCAAATATAACCCTGCATTTAATGGAAGCAGCAGCTGGGAATTGCTGAAAAGGGTCCCCTGCTCTCCTACTGGAGAAGGCAATGGCAACCCCACTCCAGTACTCTTTTGCCTGGAAAATCCCATGGACGGAGGAGCCTGGCAGGCTGCAGTCCATGGGGTCACTAAGAGTCGGACACGACTGAGTGACTTCACTTTCACTTTTCACTTTCGTGCATTGGAGAAGGAAATGGTAACCCATTCCATTGTTCTTGCCTGGAGAATCCCAGGGATGGGGGAGCATGGTGGGCTGCCATCTCTGGGGTCACACAGAGTCGGACACGACTGAAGCGACTTAGCAGCAGCAGCAGCAGCAGCCTGCCTACCACCTTTCCCTTCCTCTCGGGAAAGGAGGAGTCCTGGACACATGTGAAGTTACTCATCTGTGTGGGCTTACTAGACAGGCCCACTTTAATCTTGGTTGTTAATTACCAGCTGTGTGGACTTAGGCAGATGACTCAACCTCTCTGTTCCTTCCTCAGTGAAATGTGGTGGCCAGGAGGATTAAATGAAGCCATGTTTGTAGGGTGCTTTCCCCAGGCTTTGGCACACAGATTGCCTGATAAATATTCCTAGCTATCCAAGTCAGGTCAGTTCACCTCCTGCCTACATCTCCCCCACTGCCACCTACTTGGGTCCTTTCTATGATCTGTGTTCCCTCTTGTATTTTCAACTTTCATTGCCTTAGCATTGAAACACATTTGGCTCACCTGTTTTAAAACATCCTCCCCTTGGTCCTGAATCTTTCATTGCTTGTTCGCTTGGTCCCTCTGCTTATCTCTCCATCCCATGGCCTCCTGCACCCTGGCACGTCCAAGGTCACCAGTGTTCTCCTACCTGCTGCCACAACGACTGCAGTCTTTGGCCAACATTCTCACCTCAGCAGTGCACTGTCCCTACTCAGGGGCGCTCTCTGCCCTCTGAGGTGCCCTCTGCAGGACCTGTCCTGCAGTGAGAGCACTGTTCTTCCCACTGGAACCAGGCCCACCACCCAAGACGCAAATTAGACCAAGACACATTACCAGTGAAAGTGTTTAATAGTTAAATTATTTAAATAGACTTTTCCATTTCCATGGGAAATCATAATTGTATTCATTTTTGCAAGAGCAGGGATAAAAAGAGTGCACACCCCTTGGAGGGAATGAAGAGCTAGCACTGCACGTGGTCACCAGTCACTGCCGGGATGGGTGGGAGGGCCCCACAAGGCCAGGGAGGCCATGACCAACAGGGGAAACAATGGAGAAACCAGCACACACATTACTCAGGTTGGGAGCCAAATGAAAACCCAGCACCACTGGCGGGCCGTATGGAGAGGTCAGGGACTCGAATACAACACCATGGAGAATGCCAGCCCCTTGTGACAGATGCAAGAGGGGTGATGCAGAATTCAGAGGATGGAGCAGCAAAAGCACAGATAGACTAAGGCTGCCAGTGTTAGGCCCATAAGCTTTGCTTCTCAGAATTGTGTTTGATTGGAGTGGGAGGTGGTGTGTAGAAAGGGGAGGGCGGGGCTAGTGTCCACTGAGAGGTGGTGCAGGGGGGTGTCAAAGTAACATTTTGCAGCTGGCATATAGCTGCCTCCTCACCTCCTTCAAGCTCACATGGGAGGCGAGAATAATGCTGCCCTGAGACAGAGTGAAGAGATCTGGGCACAGGACCCAAGGATTCTGTTTGAATAAGGTCTGTATGACAGTATATCATTTTCCAAATTCCTCCCTCATAGGACATAAAAAATAGCAATTTTTCTTGGTATATTTGACTGCTCCCACCCCCCAAATGAAATCAGACAAAACGAAGTTTCTGCTGGCTTTGGCCCATGGATTGGCCTCCACTCTTTCCTCTGTCTGGTTTGTAGATGGAGAGCAAAGACACCATCCTTTCCTTGCCTGAGGGATGAGCTCCAGAGAGAGATGCCTGCACCTTGGCCAGCATAGGAAGCCAGGCAGCCCAGCCTTCCCCACACCCCCACACCAGCTGAGCTCTCAGGGTGCCTCTCTGCCCAAAGCAAAAGCTGACATCTCTGAGAGCAGAAGGGTGGAAGGAGGCCCGGCTGTCTGCCATGGGTTGAAGCTGCTTCCCTTGACTCCAGCTCGGCCTGAGATGGGAAAGAGGCTTTTGTTTTCTTTATATTCTGTTTGCATTTTACTTAAGAGAGGTGACACGTTTGTGTGTGTGTGTGTGTGAGAGAGAGAGACAGGGAGAAAGATGGGGTAATGTGTGCATGCATCTTCCTACATATGGTACCCCAAAAGGACACACTCACTGCTATGGTTGGACCTGGGAAAATCTGAGTTGAGGGAAACAGGTGTCCTGAATGAGACCAGTTCCACAGCATAAACACACACATACATACACACGCACACACACTCCAGTACATACATCAACATACATACAGTACAAATGAGCACGAACGCCCTGCTGTGCACAGCTGTTTTCTAATATAGAGAATTTACAAAATATAGAATTTGGTATATTTGTTAGATCTCCAAGGTTTTCAATAATACAAAATAAAAAATACAAAAAGACAAGTTGGGATCCCTGCCCTCCCTCCCCAGTGGCATCCTGGTTTGCTTGTGGGTCTCTTACACGCATACAACTAGCATGGTCTAAAGAAGGGCACAGAAACGTGTTTTGTTTTATTTAATAAATATTTTCTTTTTTTCTCAGAACCACCACTCCTTGCTCCGAGTCCTCTGGCCTCCCCCTCGCAGTTAGTTCTGCCCCCTCCAGGGGCACCGGCTGTGGATTGTGGGAGGGGCCCGCGTTGAAGGCCACGGTCCATCCAAAAGCTAGCACTCCTGCCGAGGCCTGCAGAGCCGCTGCCTCGGTCTGAAGTGTAAAGGCTCACATAGAAAAGCAGCCCCAGGCCCGGGCCAGAGTGGCGCCGCCTCCCGCCCGCCGGAGGCCGAGCTCCGCGGCCCTGCGCCCAGGCGGCCTGCCCTGCAGAGCCCGATCCCTCCTGCCGCTCCTCTCCGCGCGCGGCAGCTCCCTTCAGTCAGAAAACTCGAGGTTCCGACCCCATGTGGCGGCGCCTTCAACAAAGGGAGACATCTTTGGTCAGCTTGGTGCTCGCAGGACGCTGGCACCCCGGGCCTTAGACGGAGACCGCCAGCCCTCCCGCCCGCAAAGGCAGAGGCTGCTTCTGGAGTCAAAGTGGAAAATCTCAGGGCGGCCTCGCGGGCTGGAGCGAGGCTTCCTCCGTGTCTCTGGAGGCCAGGCTGCCTGGCGTCCGCGGTGGCTGCTAACTGGGCGGGGGCCCTCCGTTGAGGAAGTAGGTCATCATCTCGCCTTTGCCCTTGACCTTGACCACACCCCGGCACTCCAGCTGGTACGTGTTGGCGGCCAGCACCTGGTACATGTCTGTGGTGACCTAAGAGGCAAAGGAGGAGAGAGGACAGGCCAGCCATGACCTGACTGCCCCTGACTCCGAAGGGTGGGTAGCAGCCCCATTGCGGGGCAGCTCCTCCAAGGAAGGGCCTCAGAACCCAGAAGGAGGCAGCACCCACTCGCGGCCAGGTAGGGTGGCCAGCCCCTCAATGCGCCTGTGGCCACGCACTGCCTATCCTTCCTCCACAATGAGAGAACTGCAGAAGCCGAGGGGAGCTCTCAGGAGCTCACAGCCCTCCCACTCTCCACAATCCGTGCCCAAGTGTTTTACTAAAGCCTCACTCCAGAACTTTCAGAAGGTTCTAGAAAATGGTTTTCCACCACAGACAGTTTGAGAACCACTGCTGATTTCATTTCATCTTCCTATGAGGTGAGAACTATGATCTCAGGCTTGGAAAACCTATGCCACTTGCCTGAAGTCACACAACTGGTAAATGCTAGAGTCCAGATTCACTTCAGATTGTGCTGCCCACCTCTGCTTTGGCTTTTGGAACAAAGAGGAGGACTCACAGGCAGTGTCAGTAGCGACAGGACACTACTGCAGGGCAAAGGGCCAAGCAGAGGTGACAGGAGGAGCAGTAAGACTAAAGCTTCACCACAGGGTAATCCAAGAGCCATTTCTGAGTATGGCCAGTGCCCCTGCCAGGGCCCGCATCCACACCTGCTGTCCAGTCAGGGAGGAAGGGGCAGCACATTCTGTGAAAGGTAAGCGCTATGTAAAGGTAGGTGCCCTGCTGTCGGTTACTGACTGAGTCCCTCACATCTGCGTATGTGTGTGTGCGGGGGGTGGGGTTGAAGCTCTGTAAACACTCCTCCTCTCTCTCCATCTCTCCTCAGGACCCCCACTCCCACCTTTCTGTCCCACTCTCTTCCCCCCACCACACCCCCCCTCCCAGGATGGAGGTGAGAGGAGGCCATCTGGCCAGGCCCCTCAGGCAACACCCATAGGCCAGCCCGGGCTGTGCTGGGGTCAGTCCCTTTGTTCAGAGGCCCCACAAGGGAGTGAAGTTAGTGGATGGTTATGCAGTGTCAGTGTGAACTAGGACCTTTAAAATGGCCCAGTTTGCACTTGGGAAAACCGAGACCAGGAAGGCTACCCAGGGTTCCACGGTTCAGGGCCTCTCTGTGTCAGATCAAGCAAGGCCTGAGAAAAACAAAGAAAAGCAGCTGAAGAGCACCAACCAGCCTGCACAGGATGAAGAGACGAGAAAGTCTCCAGGTCTCTGGCCAGGCTCCTTGGCTGTTAAGACTGGTGGGGGCACCATCCAGGGACCAGTGGCCTTGTCTCGTTTTCAGAACCAGGCCCTGAGTGCTCTGGGCTCCATTTAGCAAATCCTGCTCCCTAAAGTGCCTGCCTTGTGTCTGCTCTGTGTGCCTGGAGTGTGGCATTAGCACTCCTGGCTTGGCATGGGCAGCTGGCTGTGCCATTCCCAACAATTCCTCCTGTGGCCAGTAGAGGGCTTTGCGCAGGCTAGAAGATCTGTCCAAGGTACTGACGGCCTGAAACACAATTGTGTTCTCCAAGTTTCCACTGCATCACCACCAACCACCCCATCTGCCTCAAATGTGGCTGCAGAAATTCTGAATAGGAACTGTGAACAGCCTGCTGGAAGACCGCTTAGCAGCACACAGAGGTCCCCCAGTGGACATGGAGGTGGACGCCCCTGCACTCACCTGGATGCGGTCGGGCACACCGGTGCTGTCCATGCGGCTAGCCACGTTCACTGTATTGCCCCAGATGTCATACTGAGGCTTGCGGGCTCCGATCACGCCCGCCACCACGGGGCCAATATTGAGCCCTGCAGGGGACAGAAGTCAGAATTCTCATCAGGGTTCAGACCAACTCTTTCCTGCCTGCCCTCGATATTATTCCTCCCCCTATTCTTGGCAGATTCTCTCCCTGACTCTTGGCCTAAAGATACCCAGGGTCCTTCTGGCTTGAGGCTGTACCTACCCTGAACACCTGCCACTGCTCTGATCCTATTGCACACTTCCTGACTCGAGACCACAGGAACCCAATCACATAGTCGCTACTCCTGTGTCCTTGTCACCCAGGCAGCACTCAGCTCCTGCAAATCCACTGCTAGACTGCCCTCTTTAAGCATCCAGTGACCTTTTGCATATTCTGGTTGCCTTTCTTTAATCACCCCTCTCCCGGTGGCATTTAAGTTTCCACTTTTAATTCAGATTCAGCATACCAGACTAACCTCGCTCCTCTGTTCCAGGGGTGCCATCACTCTTGTTCTCAGAACCTGCCTCCTAACTCACTTCCCTGCCCAGTGTCTCCTCTCTCCAAGTAATTCAGCCCCAGGTTTCTGCACGAGGGCAGTGATGCTGCAGTGACTGACGCCGGGAAGTAATCTGCTGCATCCATGTGAACTCTCCCTCTCCGTCTTTCTCCTCCACTTCTGCTCCAGTCTGTCTGCCTTCCTAGTCCTGCCCAAGACAGCACTGAGCAGCCCTGCCCCGAGCCTCTGCTGTGCTGGTCTCTACCTCAAATGCCCTTTCTCCTCTCCCAGCAAAGTCCTTCCCAGACACATCTGCCTCAACCAGCATTCTCTGGATATTTCCTGCCCCATCTCCAAGGCCCAGGGCACTGCCTCCTATTACATAAACTGTCTCTCATGATGGGCCTCATTAAGCCTAATTGTGGCTTAACTGTTTCTTAGCGTGCGACCACAAATACAGCGGAAGCTCTCACACACCCTCCTCGACCACTCACTAAATCAGAGATGTCATCAGTCCTCAAACCCTTCCCTCCACCAACCTCCTCTTTGGGTCCATCAAGCCACAGGTAGCTTTTTACCCCATCAGTGCTCGACAAAGCTGTTTCTTTTGAAAAAGTAACTCTTATTCTGAAAGCCTGGGTATCCTTGACAAGATAAGGACAAAACGAGCCACTGAGACACCTTGAACCTTATCAAGCAACACAGAGTTGTGTTTCTCAGATCATTTAGTGGATGCAGTGGCGGAGCAAATAGGCAAGTGTGCTGATGTACATGGGTTTTCCCTGCACTATTCTTGCAGCTCTTCTGTAGAATAGAAGACTAGAAGATTGGGGTAATAAACAGCAAAAGGAATACAAAGAAGATGTATAGCACGGGAAATATAGCCAATATTTTATAACTTTACTTGGAGTATAATCACTATGCTGTATACCCACAACTAATATTATATTGTAAATCAACTATACTTCAATTAAGAAATAAAATAATAAATACAAAAATTGAAAAAAATATAGGGTTTTGGTTCAAAGGTTTTCTAAACAAGTAGAATATAGCTCTGCCTGTTTTGAAACTGGCCCAGGGCTTCTGCTCAGAACTTCCCCCTCTCTCCTGCAGCAGCCCTGCCCCCCAGATACCACAGCATCTACGAAGCTCCTCAAAGCCACCCAACAAGGGCCAAAGCATTTGACAAAGAAGGACTCCAAGGAAGATACATGGACTCAACTTATCTCCACATCCTCACCATTTCTTTCCCCAGTTTGTGTAGATTAGAAGGACCTTCACAGCACCTAGATCTTGCTCACACACATACAAAAACCACTTAGAACTCAGCAATAACCTCTTTCTGAGTTCCGGCCTCTCCCATGGGGTGCCCTGTGTGTGCCCTTGGCACACAGCATCCCCTACAGAGCCTCTCTGGTGGGCATAGTGAGTAGAAAAGGCAGGAACTGAGAAAAATGGTATCCCATGCTCACCACCATGCAGAGGAGGCACCTCTAGGCCCCAGAAGAACTCTGCTGTGTGATGGGTACCATCCCCCACCCCTTGGGCAGGGACATACTATAACATCAGCCTCTTTGGACTGGCTCATGGAAGCAGGATGGGAGGGGGGTTGGGGAGCCCCTACAAGCCCTCAGCACTCTGAGCCAGGCTCACCGATCTTCATCTGGAAGTTGTTGAAAGAGTGCTCGTTGATGTACTTCATCTGGTCCATCAACTTCATGGCAAAGTCGGCCAGGGCTTTGATGTGGGTCTTGCCCACCTTGTCGTAGGTGGAGTCATTGAGTCCCGAGGCGGCCATGTAGGTGCTGCCAATGGTCTTGATCTTTTCCAGCTGCCTGAACCGGTCCTCACTAATGATCTGGGAAGAAGGAGGCCAAACCTCGGTCACCCCAAAGTTGGGTACTGAGGTCTGCAGGGGAGTGTAGCAGCACAGCCCCTCGTGGCTCCCTTGTTCACACAGAGGGGCCCATCTCTGTCACCAACTCAGTGTAAGGCCTCGCTGCTCCCCAACAGTCAGGCCTCCTCTGGCAGTCACCCGCTGGCTGTCTAGGGGCTGTGGGCTATGAGCCCAGCCACATACAAGAGCCCCTGGGGCCAGGTCACGAGTCACCTCTGGGGCTCTTTCCCATAATATGGATTGGCAGCTGCCCTTCCCTTTGCTGGCTAAGGGCCCCAGCCCTCCCAGGGAAACCTCCTCATTGTTGTCCAGCAGGCCACTCTTCTCCTATCTCCAGGATCTGCTGGAAGCCTGTCCATATCCATTTCAGCCAACTCCAGTAACCACAATGCCCGGGAGTCTTGGGGGCTGCTCTGACACTGCCTGGTCCCAGCTCTGCCATCTCACTAGGGTTTGTGCTCCATGCCCGGGCCCTTGTATTCCTGCTGGGTTTGTCCTGCTCACACTCCCTACGTGGTGAGCTCCCAGCACCGAGACTGCTCTACTGGGCACAGTATTCCTCAGGGTCTGGCACACACTAGGTACTCAACAAAGAAAATGTCTTTGCTTCTGCTTCTGCTGTTCAAGGCTTTGCAACTTGGTCCCACCTCCTCCTTTAGCCTGGGAATCCCTCCTCCCTTGGACTCTCTCAAACACTGAGTCCCAGCCTGAGGCCCTGTCCAGCCCGAGATGGCACAAGAGGAACGGCAGGTGATGGGGGTGGTTGGCGAGTCAGCCAGGTGGGGCCTTGATGGGGCAGCTGAGGCTGAAACCCCAGCTCTGCCGCTTACAGGCAGTGACCCAAGGCAAGACAGTAATGTCTGTGAGTCTGGGCCTCCCCATTGTGACATGGTGATGGGGAAGAAATACACGCAGGTGCCTATGGCAGTGCCTGGGACACAGTCAGGGCTCCTGACGTCTCCGCTCACACTGGTGATGGGAAAGGGGGGGTGTCGGGGCCCAGCTGCACCTCGTCAAAGTCTGCGATGATCTCGTTGAGCAGCCGCAGGCACTCGACGCCCTCGTTGTTGGCCTCCAGTTCCACGTAGAACTCGGAGAAGTTGGCGATGGAGGCGAACATGACGGCCACGCACTCGCACGACTGATAGTAGAGCTCGTCGTTGCGCCGTTCGCGGGCCAGGAAGTGTGCTGCCACGTCCTTGGGTAGAATATTGTGCAGCAGCCGCCGGTTGTAGGCCTGCAGCTCCTCCATCTCCTCCTTCTCCTCTGTGGCCTGGGACAGAGGGCCCGGTCAGAGGGAGGGCAAGGAGCAGGCTGCTTAGAAAAAGGCAGTGCAGCCCTCCTACATGCCTACATGGGTCCAAGATTTCACCAAGTGCCAGCTTTGCATCCTCACTGCTGTCTCTACTTCCAGGTTTTCTATCAAGAGTATCTATTACTTTGACCATCAGAAAAGAGAGCTCTGTAAGTGGCTAACTCTTCCCACCCGCCTCTTGGTATATGTGCTGCCGAAGCGAGCACCTGCCTGCCTCTTGGAAAGCGACACCTATGACAGCGTTGATCCTGAAGGAAGGACCCTGAGTGAAAACAGGTCCCAGAGGAGAAGCTGGACGGATCCTGTCTGCCCCAGATGAAAAGGAGTCAGGAGGATAAAAGGATGGTTCAAACCCAAACCCACACGGCCCTCTAGCCACCCAAGTGCTCCTTGATTGTCCATTTTCCTCTTCGTATGAGGAAACACACACAGAAAAGCAATTTTATAAAAACCACTTTAGCAGACTGAATGCAGGGAAACCTGCTCAGAGCCCTGCTTGGTCTCCCTGGTTCCCCGAGAGCTGACCCACCCCAGGACCAGAGGGTGCAGGTGCCCCGAGGTGCCACCTGGGCAGGACAGGGACATCACTGATGTCCCCAAGCTTGGGTCCTGGGCCTGGGATGAACTCACCATCCAGGATAGAGGGACAGTGCAAAACCCTCAGTCAGGAGGCCAACAGTGGCCCACAAGCTGAAGCACGGAGGTAGTCCTGCACGTTGGTGTGCAAGGAGCCAGCTGACCAGAGTGTTCAAGGGGCACAGGGTCCAGAAGGGGGAGTCTTCTTGCTTCCTCCCTTCAATGGCTAACAGAATGGTCCCTTGAATGGGGGCAACCAACAGTGTAGGTAAGGCAGGCAGACAAGCAGGCCAAGCATCACTAGCAGTTTAAAAGATCTAGCCAGCTTTCTTGGGCCTTCCTTAACTAAACATGGAGGCCTTTCTATTCACTGCAGCTAGAACCTCCAAAATGGCCAGGACTATTTCTCAGGGCCCCAGCTCTCCAGGTGGGCAGTGGCTGCTCATGAAGAAGGAGCTGCTACACCCATCAAGGCTGCAGGTCTGGCTTCAGGGGGAAAGGAGAAAGCTGAGGGATGAGGTGAGAGGACCCACCTTATTCTTGGGATGGGTGGGTCACACCCAAGGAAGTTCCTGGACCCTCAGATGCCATGGGGGTCCAGCAGGCATGTGCTGTCTTCCTGCCAGGTGGCTCCTGTGGGGTGGGACACTTTGACCACCCCCCTCCCCTAATTTGGGCTTCCCTGGTGGCTCAGCAGTAAAGAATCCTGCAATACAGGAGATGCAGGTTCTATCCCTGGGTCAGGAAGATCACCTGGAGAAGGGAATGGCAACCCACTCCAGTATTCTGGCCTGAAAAATCCCATAGACAGAGGAACCTGGTGGGCTACAGTCTATGGGGTCACAAAAACAGATACGACCTTGCGACTAAACAACAGCTCCCATAAATAAGGGCCCCCTGCTCCTGCTCTGGAACAGGTGTTCCAGAGGGAGAAGGCTGGTGTGGGAGTCCCTCTCCTCCCTGCTGTCCCTGCAGAGGGGCCCCAGATGCTTTGAAGATACACCAGGCTGCCCCTACTCCTGCCCCTACCACCTACACAGACCACATGCCTGGGGACCCAGGAGCACCTCAGCTCCTCTGATCAGCCCACAGGTGGCAGGAATGCTTTCCCAGAGAGCATCTGCCCAGAGTGTCAGGCAGTGGAGGCTGGGGGTGGGGACGCTGGGAGCACAGCTGCTGCTGGGAACAGAAGCCAAACACAGAGGCGCTGGTCAGGTGCACCTGCCACCTCTGGGAACTCTGCCCAAGACATGTGGGCAGTTGTCAGCACAGCCAGCTGCTTCTAGGGCTGGGCTCTGCTCAGGCATGATGGCTCAGGGGTTCACAGGTGCTTGCTGGTCCTAATAAGGTCAAGGCTATGGGAGGAGACAAGAATGGGCTTTCCTGAGAACCAACGCCCAGTGGAGGGGGCCATGCAGGTGTGTGTTTTTTGCAGGTGCTTCAGGGAAGCTAGGGACCCCAGGCTCCCCACCTCCCTGTCAGCACTACACCCCCACCATGACCATAGATCCAACAGCTAAATAGGCTGCTAGGCGAGACTGGGGGTGGGGCAACAGACCATCACTCATCCATCCCAAGAACCCAACCCATCCCATCCTGAATAACCCATGTTCAGGTTATTATTTACCCCTCCCCAAAGCCCTGGAGGACGATGGGAGATGGAAGGATGTGGGAGCATCATGAGATGCTTCAGTAGAGACAGGCTGACACACCTGGCAGGTAGAGACACACTCACCCCCACACTCACATACATGTGCATGTTTTCAAAATGGGGAGTGGATAGCCACTTCCTTTTCAATTTTCCCTTCCTTCCCAACCTTGTACAGAGTGCTTGTGCTTGAGGAAGGATGTGATCAGAGGAAGGACGTGATCAGAGGAAGGACGTGATCAGAGGAAGGAGTGCCACATGTGGTGTATCCAGCAAGGAAGCAGGGCTGTGAGGTGAGGAGGGCATGGTGGGGCAGAGAAGGGGGCTGGGGTGATGGGGAGGTCAGTTCCATTGAACAAATGAGTAAATATGTGAAAGAAATAGAAGGGGAAGTTCTCACTGCCAGTGATAATATTTGCATGCATGGAAGGAGGAAGGCTAGAAAGAAGCCTGAGGTATTGCATTGGGAATGGGGGTACTGCTACCAACTCATGGTTTTAAATATCAACTGACAGTTACTGCAGTAGTATCCATTCATATGTAGGTGTATATGTGTGTATTTCCTATATACTTACATACATTTCCTAGCTTTGTCCACAGAGGGAACCTAGAACAGTGTGCACACTGGGTGCCCTGATCTGGGTTTCTAAACACCATTCTCCATGAAGAACAATTGGGGCGCTTTGAAGGGAAAGTACATGATGAGCCCCAGACATCATCTTGTGCCAGAAGGTAAAAAAAAAAATGCTCAAAGAATGATGGAGACGTGTCAGAGAACATGGAGGCCAACCTGAAGACACACTGACCAAAGCCAGGACACATGAAACATTAAAATAAATAATGAGAGGAGCAGAGTATAAGCCCCACTAAATCTGATAGGAATCTATGAGTGTAGGCTGATGTAGATAAGTGAATGAAGTAAATAAGAGGAAGATAAGGAAAGCTCTGGGCTTCCCTGGTGGCTCAGATGGTAAAGAGTCCCCTTGCAACACAGGACACCTGGGTTGGATCCCTGGATCAGGAAAATCCCCTGGAGAAGGAAATGGCAACCCACTCCAGTATTCTTGCCTGGAAAATTCCATGGACAGAGAAGCCTGGTGGGCTACAGTCCATGGGGTTGCAAAGAGTTGGACATGACTGAGCAACTAACAGACACAAGGAAAGCTCTGCCTTAAAAGAGAATGTCGATTAACAAATGTAGAAGGGGGACTTCCCTGGTGGTCCAGTGGTTAAGAATCCACCTTGCAATGGCAGGGGACACGGGTTCAACTCCTGGAATGAAGTAAGATCCCACATGCTGTGGAGCAACTAAGTCCATACACCACAACTACAACGAAAGATCCTGCATGACACAGCTAAGACCCAATGCAGCCAAATAAATTAATTAATTTTTTAAAAAAGCAAATGCAGAAGGAATGACAGACATAGGTCATCACAACCCAGCAGGCAAGAGTCAGTGATGGATTGCTGAGACTGCTGTGTGAGGTTTGCTGAGAATCAGAATATTGGTGTAATGCCAGAGCATCTTTCTACAAAAGGGAAGATGGGGACCTGATGGTGGAGAAATCTGGCAGATGCCCACTTGAGAGGGTGATCAAAGTTAACGTCGCCAGGGGTGGGACAGGCCAACACAGAGGAATCCTCAAGGTGATGCTCTGAGAAGTGCCTCATGAGTGTCACTTCCACGGTTTTCCTCCCAGAAGGCGGGGCCCGAGTCTGGACACAGGAAACATCAAGGGCCCCGGACTGAGGGCCACAGAACAAGGACCTCTTTAAGACTGACAAACTGAGAGACAAAGACAGGAAACATAATGACTAAATGCACAGGGTACCTTGGATGGAGTCCTGGGCCAGAACTGGGACAGTTGACCAAAACAGAATGGTTCTGTGAGTGGATGTATTATGGGTGGACAGTGTTGATTTTCTGTCTGGGGGTTTGCATGGGAATAATGCAGAGAGTGTCTTTGCTTTGGTTGGGGAGGTAGACAGTGGGGAACTGAGGGGGTGTCAGAAAAGAGAGGGTGATGGAGCAAATGCAGAAAAATGGTTGGGGAATCTGATGAAGGGACTGGTGGAGTTCTTTACACTGTTCTTTTAACTTTTCTGTAAGTTTAAAATAATTTTTTTACAACTTAATGCCATAAAAGCAGATGAAACCTGGTGGGAGCCTCTGTTTGAACCTGTACTTTCACAAGCTGGACAGGGTCCGGGGGTGGGGGGTGAAGGGGTAGTCAGTCATAAGAAGCGGAGTGGCAGGCTCCCCGTCCCTGGCTTCCACCCCTTTCTCAGGGTCTTTGCAATACAACTGAGTCACACAGCAGCAACTACATTGGGAGGGGCTTCTGGAGGGCTCATGGGGGAGGTGGAAGGGGGCGAGCAGAGGAATGGAGGGAAATTGACTTCAGGCTCCACAGAGTCTGGTCAGCCCCCAGGGGAGAGCTGGGGGCCTCCTGGGAGCTTCCCCAAGAAGAGGGGCTCGAACCAGCGGGGAGGAGGCTGGGAGGCCACTCCCTGAGAAGAGAAGATGCAGCCTTACAGTGGGTACCCCTGAGGCCCCTCCCGACCTAGGGCCTAGGGGGGCGTTCTGCAGGAAAACATGCTTCCCCAGCCTCAGGGCATTCTCACGGGAGACCTCAGTGGGGACCTCAGCAAGCCCTCACACAAAACTCCCAATAGCAGGTGCAGCTAGATGCCTCCACTTTCACTCAGCAGCCAGTGAAAATCAAGGCTTCCTGCCCTGGCCCAAAGACTTCAATCTCGACATTACTAGGAAGCTGAGGATGGAGGAAACCTAAGCAAGCTACAGATGAGCTGGAGAAGTGGTCTACACACAGGGGTCAGGCCAAAGGAGGCAAAGAGGCCAGGCTAAGCTATGCCTTACAAGCAGCTGAGTGGGAGCAACAGGTCTGAGCCCCACCCCTACTCCTACCTAAAGCCAGGCTTTCTCAAAGGTCCTAGGCACCCTCTCCTGCACCTTTTGAGGTGGTCCAGCAGGTAGTAAGGGGCCACACAGGGGCTGCTGCTAGCATCTGGAGTATGCTGTGCATGGCCCACATCACCCCCTCCTCCAGGTGGACACAGTCAGCATGCAGGGCACAGAGCCTGGACAGCAGAGTGCTGGCTGGATTTCAGCTCCACCAGGGCACCCAGCACCCAGCACCTTTGCCCCTGCCTGGGCCACTGCTCATCAAGGCCAGGGCATAGCCACCTGGCTGGACATCCTGTCAATGATCTTTGATGCCCCTTCCAGCTGTCTTCCCCTGGAGGAGGCTTCAAGTCCAGTTCTGGTCACATCAAGCCCTGCTCAGATGCCTCTGGTGCCAGCTCCTGCACTCAGGCCTCTGAGGCCCCAGAACTGCACACCCCCTGCTCCCCTCCTCTCCTCCTGCCTGTCCATCAGGGTCCCAGCACTGGGCACTGTTGCAGGTGGGTTTGCTTGGAGCTCTGCGGTTTTGCCTCTTGGCCCTAGAGAGCAGGAGGCAGACTCACCGGGACACAAAGTACCAGGCAATTGGGGCGAGGCCTGAGCAGGACACCTCGTCAGTGCAGAACCCAGGCCCAGCCCAGCCCAGAAAGTGCCCAGAAGTCTGGGTACCTCCTCCCGTCCCCTGCCCCAGCCCCTGGCCACCCACCTGAAGTTTCCAGAGGAAGTCGAGGCGGGCGGTGGACTCCACCTGCTGGGCGTGCAGGTACAGGGCCAGAACGAAGACGGAGATGATGATGGGCGTCACCACCTTCAGCGCCACCTTGGTTGGGTGCTCAGGGCTGCAGGCAGGAGGCAGAGGCCCCACGCTTCATGCCAGGCTCTGAGGGCCACTCAGGCCTGTTTGTCTTCTTCCCACTCCAGCTCCCTCCTCCTTCTCTAACTTTGCCTGAGGTGTGCCATCTTCCTGGTGGACAGCCCCGTCGCAGCCCCTGCTTGCCCTGCAGCTCAGCAAATGTTACTCCTCCCCTGAGGTTCACTACCCCCCATCACTGGGGAGCTTCCCTCTGGTTACAGCAGGGGATGAACCGGGCCATCATACAAGGCAATGTATACATCCCAGGTCTCTCTCAGTTGACAAGACAGGGGTTGTAACAAGGGAGGCAGGCAGGCCATACTGACTGTCTCTGGTCAACCTTGGGCAAATCTCTTAACCTCTCTGAATCTTAGTTTCCTAATCTGTAGAATGGGATAACAATACCCACATTTCAAGATTGTGGCGAGAATTACAGATACTGTATGCAAACTCCTGTATAGTATCTGAGAAACAGTAGGAACTCCAAAACTGGTAGCAATTATTGTCTGATTATATTTCTGTTGACATTACTAATACTCCTAATAAAAAACAGCTGTCCCAAACCCTTCTCCTGTCCCAGCAAAGAGCCCAAACCTTGAAGGCTGCATACTCCCTGTGCAGCAGTGGCCCGGAGGCAAGACCTAACCAACCAACCCTGCAGGCCTGGCCTCTGCTCCTCCCCTCTGGGGCACATGTTCTCCTTTGCCTGGGGTCTCACATATGCCCCCAGGGAGAGCTGGAGGCCTGTGGAATGGCCTCTGAGTCCTGATAATCTTGGTCCCGAGTCTGTAAATCATCTTGGGGTGATGGAGATGGTAAAAGAACGGTACCTATCCAGGGAAGCCCCATTGGCACTTAAGAGAGGGGAGGGCCTCCTCCTTCATCACCCACCTTGCCACCAAGGCCCCCTCCCACCTGTGCACTGCTGTTTTCTCTGCTGGGCTGGTAGAGAATTCAGACAAAGAGCTTCAACTCACCACTGGGAGGTCCCGTTGTTGTTGAAGTCTCTGTGAACAGGAGTGGAGAGGGCTGTTCAGAGCTGCTCCCGCCTCACAGCCTCCAGGCCTCTCTGCGGCCACTGACCCTCTTCACCCTTTACACCCAGCTCTGCGTCCCCATGCCTCATACTTCTGCCCCCACAACTGCTGCTCCTTTGCCATCCCCCCAGCATCCCTCTCCCCAGTCCAAGGACACTTTCAGGATAGGAGGTTTGCAGAAAGCCTGGTCCCTATTAGCATCTGGTCACCAGGACCACACATCACCGGTCCTTTCCTGGGACCCTTTTCTCCCACCCCAGCCCGTTGCTGCCACCCAGAGGAGAAACACTACATTTGTACTGTCCAGTACAGTAGCCACTAGCCATATGTGGCTACTGAGCTTAAAATGTGGCTAGTACAGGTTGAGATGTGCTATCAGTGTAAAATAGATACCAGGTTTTGAAGAATTAGTGCGGAAAGATATCAAATACTTCATTAATAATTTAGAACTGACTGCATGTGAAAATAATGTTCTGAACATATTGGTTAAACAAATATATTATTAAAATTAATTGCATGTTTTGCTTTTTAATATAGCTACTAGAAAATTTAAAATTACATCTGTGGCTTGCATGATTTTTCTAGTAAACAGTGCTGCCCTAGAGCCATGCCAGGGTTTCTCAACCCAGAAAGGACCTCCACTCTCTGGGTGGGGCTTGGGGGGAGGGGCAGGACAGGAGAGAAAGACAGGCAGAGTTCCGCTCTTGCCCCATCCTTGGGTAGAAGGGTCGACTTCCTCCTTCTCCCGTCCCCACAAGACTGTAACCTGCATGGCTCCCCATGCTACAGTCTCCCTGTCATCTGCCCACAGCCCTGCACAGCCGCTGGGAAGTTCTTCCTTGCATCTGCCTTAGATCCTTCACTACATCTTCATTTTCTCAGGTGACACTCTCTGCACAAGAAGGTAACATCATTTCTGACACTGGAATGGCTGATGTTATCCGTGACTGTACCTCCACTGCCAAGCTTGGTGCCTGGAACAGGGTAGGTGCTCTGTAAATATTTTTGAGTGACTGGATAGATGGATGAATGAATCTCTTCCTCTAACTCAGAGAAAGCACAGTGCTGCATTTTCTCAGGGAACACAGACCTGTCAGCTCACATGTTTTGCACTTCCTGATGTGTATGTGTTGGGGTAGGGAGGACAGAGATGGTAATGGGGAGAAAAGGGTACTATGTATCAGGCACTTTACATGCATATTGCTGCTATAGGCATTATTATTTGCACTCTACTGGGAAAAAATAATGAGAGATTCAGGAAAAATAGCCAAATGTGTGTCTGAAGCTGAGATTCAAACTCAATTTGACCCCAAATCAGAGCTCTTTCCCCTCAAAGAGCCACCTCCCTGGGAAATCTGACATCTGTCACTATTTGACCAGACGGACTGCCAGCTAGAATGCCCGGGGCACAATCCTCATTCGTGCCACCTCTTGGCTGTGGGACTTAACTGCTCACCATCACAGTCAGGAGCCTTTGAGCAGTGCACAAACTACCCAACTGTCCAGGGAGGCCCTCTCTACTTTGCTGAGTTGCCATGAGGATGAAAGGGATAAAGTATGTCCACGTGTCTAGCTTAAGGCAGGACAAATGCCCACAAACAACGAGGCTGTTCCTTTGCTCCCACACACCTTGCTTTCCAGCTCTGTTGGACCTTGACCCCTCTGGGCCTGAGGCTGCAAGGCAGTGAGGTGAAAATAGCCCATCAAAGGCTGCCTGGGGCAGATGAGGAACAAATCACTGAAGCCTGAAGTCAGGACTGAGTAAGAGTCTGGAGGCAGAAGGACAGGGGACCTAGTAGCCCTGAGGCCACCCTCATCACTGGGAGAGGGATAGAGGGAAAGAAAAAAGACACTGAACTGTTTTTGCCTAGGTGGTCAGAGCTGGGAGCAAAAGGATACTCCCCTGGAAGCCCCCTGCGGCCCAGGACCCCAGTCTTCCGTTTTTCCTGTCTCTCTGCAATGCTCCAGACCCCGTTTGGGGTCCGAGGTGGGTGCCACCTACATGGCGTTGGCTGTGACCAGTAAGTCGGCATTGTCAAAGAGCGTGACACCGGGCACCTCAACGACGAGCACGTAGATGAGCTCGATGGCCAGCATGAGCACCAGCTTCCCGATGCAGCTGATCTGCAGGAACACGGAGCAGGCCAGCAGGCTGAGCAGCACACTGTAGGTGAAGTACTGGAGAGAGGAAGGCAGCTTTAGCGCCCCAGGCCCAACCGTGCTGCCACCCAGAGGAGAAACACTACATTTGTACTGTCCAGTACAGTAGCCACTAGCCATATGTGGCTACTGAGCTTAAAATGTGGCTAGTACAGGTTGAGATGTGCTATCAGTGTAAAATAGATACCAGGTTTTGAAGAATTAGTGCGGAAAGATATCAAATACTTCATTAATAATTTAGAACTGACTGCATGTGAAAATAATATTCTGAACATATTGGTTAAACAAATATATTATTAAAATTAATTGCATGTTTTGCTTTTTAATATAGCTACTAGAAAATTTAAAATTACATCTGTGGCTTGCATGATTTTTCTAGTAAACAGTGCTGCCCTAGAGCCATGCCAGGGTTTCTCAACCCAGAAAGGACCTCCACTCTCTGGGTGGGGCTTGGGGGGAGGGGCAGGACAGGAGAGAAAGACAGGCAGAGTTCCGCTCTTGCCCCATCCTTGGGTAGAAGGGTCGACTTCCTCCTTCTCCCGTCCCCACAAGACTGTAACCTGCATGGCTCCCCATGCTACAGTCTCCCTGTCATCTGCCCACAGCCCTGCACAGCCGCTGGGAAGTTCTTCCTTGCATCTGCCTTAGATCCTTCACTACATCTTCATTTTCTCAGGTGACACTCTCTGCACAAGAAGGTAACATCATTTCTGACACTGGAATGGCTGATGTTATCCGTGACTGTACCTCCACTGCCAAGCTTGGTGCCTGGAACAGGGTAGGTGCTCTGTAAATATTTTTGAGTGATTGGATAGATGGATGAATGAATCTCTTCCTCTAACTCAGAGAAAGCACAGTGCTGCATTTTCTCAGGGAACACAGACCTGTCAGCTCACATGTTTTGCACTTCCTGATGTGTATGTGTTGGGGTAGGGAGGACAGAGATGGTAATGGGGAGAAAAGGGTACTATGTATCAGGCACTTTACATGCATATTGCTGCTATAGGCATTATTATTTGCACTCTACTGGGAAAAAATAATGAGAGATTCAGGAAAAATAGCCAAATGTGTGTCTGAAGCTGAGATTCAAACTCAATTTGACCCCAAATCAGAGCTCTTTCCCCTCAAAGAGCCACCTCCCTGGGAAATCTGACATCTGTCACTATTTGACCAGACGGACTGCCAGCTAGAATGCCCGGGGCACAATCCTCATTCGTGCCACCTCTTGGCTGTGGGACTTAACTGCTCACCATCACAGTCAGGAGCCTTTGAGCAGTGCACAAACTACCCAACTGTCCAGGGAGGCCCTCTCTACTTTGCTGAGTTGCCATGAGGATGAAAGGGATAAAGTATGTCCACGTGTCTAGCTTAAGGCAGGACAAATGCCCACAAACAACGAGGCTGTTCCTTTGCTCCCACACACCTTGCTTTCCAGCTCTGTTGGACCTTGACCCCTCTGGGCCTGAGGCTGCAAGGCAGTGAGGTGAAAATAGCCCATCAAAGGCTGCCTGGGACAGATGAGGAACAAATCACTGAAGCCTGAAGTCAGGACTGAGTAAGAGTCTGGAGGCAGAAGGACAGGGGACCTAGTAGCCCTGAGGCCACCCTCATCACTGGGAGAGGGATAGAGGGAAAGAAAAAAGACACTGAACTGTTTTTGCCTAGGTGGTCAGAGCTGGGAGCAAAAGGATACTCCCCTGGAAGCCCCCTGCGGCCCAGGACCCCAGTCTTCCGTTTTTCCTGTCTCTCTGCAATGCTCCAGACCCCGTTTGGGGTCCGAGGTGGGTGCCACCTACATGGCGTTGGCTGTGACCAGTAAGTCGGCATTGTCAAAGAGCGTGACACCGGGCACCTCAACGACGAGCACGTAGATGAGCTCGATGGCCAGCATGAGCACCAGCTTCCCGATGCAGCTGATCTGCAGGAACACGGAGCAGGCCAGCAGGCTGAGCAGCACACTGTAGGTGAAGTACTGGAGAGAGGAAGGCAGCTTTAGCGCCCCAGGCCCAACCGGTCCTGGCCCCGCCCCCCAGTCTCTCTCCAGTCTGAGTTGATCTCAGGTGAAACCGAGTCTGGGGATGTTTCTGCTGATGCAAACTTGTACTGCGATGTGAATGGCCGTGGGTAGAAACCAGGAGATGGGGCTGGCAGGATAAATACCACCAGTTCCAGCAGTGATGCTTAGTGGTTAGAGCAGGTGTTCCAGCTCAGGCAAACCTGAGTTTCAGCCCTGATTCATTATGGACTGTTCGTGTGACTTTGGCCATTTATTCAACCTCTCTAAGCTTGTTGAAAGTGAAAGTCGCTCAGTTGTGTCCGACTCTTTGCGACCTCATGGACTATACAGTCAGGCCAGAATACTGGAGTAGGTAGCCTTTTCCTTCTCCAGGGGATCTTCCCTACCTAGGGACCTAACCCAGGTCTCCTGCATTGCAGGCAGATTCTTTACCGTCTGAGCCACCAGGAAAGCCCCTAAGCTTGTTTCCCTGCATTCAAAACCTTTTCTCTCTTGGGCTTACTGTGATGATTAAAAGTGATATGAAGCCCCCTGCCACAGTGTGTGGTGCCCTCCATAACTATGAGAGTGCAGGCCCCAGCCCTGCATCGACAACTTTAAATCCAAAGTCCTAAAAACTGAAAGTGTTTTCATAACTGATGTGGTGGCAACATCTGAACTGCTTTATTTGGTGGCCAAACTGATCTACTGACGTGATGTGAAGTACCACCTTTGTCCTGCTTCCTGTGACTATTCATACATTTTGCTGCAGAAATGTTTCTGTGTTTCATTATCAGGTGCTGCCCAGATTGCACCGAGGTGTGAGGTAACCTTTTAACTCTGAAGAGTTTCACAGTCCAAAATATATCTGATCTGAAAGGTTTCAGATGAGGGACTGTGCCTCCCTGTACTTTGGGGGGAATCCCTCCTGATCTCAGAGCCTCAGTTTCGGAGCCTCGGACAATCGTCTGAGGGGCCAAACCAGGCCATCTCAGAGGTCAGTTTCTGTTCTGTTGTCCCCTGATATTAATCCAAGACAGTCAGCATCTATTATTTTGCTCTTTCTTTTAAATTTAGCATCACTATTTCTGCGCCAGGCAAAAAGACCCACTACTGCCACTGCCTTGGGATGGAGGCCAAGTGTTGGTGGCTGGAAGTGAGGGTAGCCCCTGGTGACTGGAAGAGGGAGGGACCTGCTTCAGCTCACCAGCAGGAGAGGGGCAGAGGAAGGAGTAGACACATCAGCCTCAAGGATAATAATTGTGTCCTCGGGGGGTGGGGAGGGGAACACAGCACCAGCCTGGAGGCCCATTCAGACCCTGGGCCCAGACAAGGCCAGAGCTTAATACTGAGGTCCATCCAGGTCTCGGAGGAGTTGCTGAACTGCTGAATCAGAACAACACTTGTGGGGTGGGGTCAGCCTGAGTGGTCTGCAGCTGGTGAGTCCTGGGATCTGAGGGCCCAAAACGGGTCAGGCTGGTGAGAGCTGAAGGCTGTAATCAACCGTCTCCCACAAACACGGAACCAGAACAGGCCCTGCCATCACTTTGTTCCCCTGCTCGCCCGTGGAGCAGCCACCAAAGGACACGTGCAAGACCAAAAACGGCCTCGGCTTCCAGCCAACAGCCCTCAGGCAGCATCTCCTAGAGGCTGTCAGCCAGATGTGAGAGGGAAGAGAGGTGGAGAGCCAAGGGCAGGCACTGGAGCATGGCTTCCAGGGCAGAGTGAGCGCATCGTGGGGCCCAGGGACAGGCAGTCCAGGTGACACTGTGCGGGGGCGCCCCACTTCTCACTGAGTCTCCCTCATCCCATCCATACAGGGGAGGTAGATCAGTCCCCTTCCCTGGGGTGGGGAAGGTGGCCAGCACTGTGAGAGTCCCTGGGGGCCCTCACTGCCATCCTGGAGACTTCTTATGAGTCATGGGCCCTTTGGGAGTCGGATGAAAGCATGGGCTTTCTCCCCAGAAAAGGGCAAAAACTGCCATCATCTTAGATTTCATGGGCGCCCTGGTAGGGAGTCGGGTTGTGGGAGTGACCAGTGCTGGGAGAAGATGTGCTGGGCTGGAAGCCTGATCCTGCTGCTCTCTGCAGAATGGCTCCCTGAGGAGGCCCAGCAGGGTGGCGGAGCACTCAGCATGCTGCTCAATAAGGGTTCTCGACACCGAATTTTTAAACCCAATGATCTGTAGGTACACGATTTCATTCTGGGGTGACAAAAATGCTGTACAATCCCATTATAATGACGGCTGCACAAGTTGTGAATATACTAAGTGTGTTAGTCGCTCAGTCGCGTCCAACTCTTTGGGACCCTGTGGACTATAGCCCCCAGGCTCCTCAGTTCATGGAATTCTGGAATTCTCCAGGCAAGAATACTGGAGTGGGTTGCCATTCCCTTCTCCAGGGGATTTTCCCGACCCTGGGATTGAACCCAGGTCTACCTGCATTGCAGGCAGATGCTTTACCATCTGAGCCACCAGGGAAGCGCTAGTGAGTTAGTAGGAGAACCCAACCCAGTGATACACTAAAAGCTACTGAACTATACTTTGAATGGGTGGGCCAGGTGGTAGTACTGGTTTGGGATAGTTTCTTTCGCTCCCCTCCACTCTCTGACCTACAGCAAAGGGATCAGGCAGGCCACCCAGGGCAGCACTGGGGTATGCTGCTGAGGCTGAGGGTACAGAAACAGCTCTGCCTTCAGGTTAAAATAAAAAATTCTTAGGTCAGGTGACCTGGGTGGGAGCTCTGGCTCTGCCACTTGCTGTGTGACCTTAGGCACATTACTTAACCTCTCTGTGCCTCAATTTCATCTGTATAAAGGAGCTAATAATAGCATCTTTGTCACAAGGTTGCCCTGAGGACTAAATGAGTAAATGTGAAGTTCTTAGCACTGTATTTGGTACATGGTAAGCACCCTATAAGCAATAGCTATGCTATTATTGTTGGTAATATTATACAGGGAGGTTGGCCTTGCTCACTGGTGTCTGGCACATAGAGTGAGATAGATTTCGGGGGAAGGAGGTTTCTGGAATGGCAGTGAGCCCGAGGGCCCCTGACTGTCCGTCAGAGTAGTTGAGGGTGGAGAGGGGCTGGTGGCGGGTCCCCATCTGCATCCTGCCCCACCCTGCCCAGTACCTCGGGGAAGTTGCAGTTGGGCCAGGAGCTGCCGCAGAAGCCCTGCTCATCACCCAGACTGTAGTTGACGGCCGACTCCACCACATGGCATGCGTTGACCTGACTGGCACTGATGTTGTGCTCGTCCCCCAGGCAGCCAAACAGGTCCTTGGAGTTGCACGTGAACTGGGGGCGGGGAGGAGAGGCTCAGCCCATGGGGGCCAGGCCAGAGCAGCCCATCTCCACAGGCAGCACATGCTCCCGGTTTTGGGTGCAGTCTGACCCTGACCAGGGCAGGGGATGAGCGTGGAAGAGGCCGAGGAACAGGCAAGACTTGCCCAACTACCCAGGGCAAGGCTCATAAACCTCCCTGTGGGGGGTGTACTTCCGAGAGCCTCTGGTCCTCTGGCCTTGAGAGTGAGGACTAAATGCTGTGTGAGAGGCTTTAGGAGCTAAATCTGATTCCAGGCCTGAGGTGAGACCCAAATAAGAATTTCCAGGGAGGGAGAACCCCAGGGCCTGAGGGAAGTCTCCTCCCAGTGCATGCTTATGGGGTTCAGGGCCCCAATGGGCTGGGGAGGTGCTGGGGAGGTGGAGCCACCCACCATGTTGACAAAAGCTGACAGGAACACGAGGGTGATGGTGAACACCCCCACCAGGGTGCTGTTCATCTTGGACCGCACGATCTTCCTGGAGAGGGTCTGCAGCGGGGCCGGGAAGAGCTGTCCCAGGGGCAGAGGGAGGGAGGGAGAGAGAGACGGAACAGAATTCAATGGACTCCACACACCGCCACAGAGGAGGCTGTGAAGGCTCTCCCCCTCTGTCTGTCACCAGCAGAACCCTGAAAGCTTTCCTGACCCCCCTCCCTGTGTGTGGGCCTCCAACCTCTGCTTCCAGGCCAACGACAGTTAGATTCTGCAGGGGGCCAGGAGGGGTCCACCTGAGGAGCTCACAGGTGAGAAAGGAAGGATGAAAGGAAAGATGCTACCTTCACCCCAACATGGAAGCAGAGGAAAAAGCCCATGTACCAACTGTGTGAACACTGGGCCCCTTAGAGTTACATTCAGGGAGTGGCAGGAGGCAGCAGTGAAAGAGTCATGGCAGAACTTTCCGAGGAGGGTCAGAGGGTTTCTGGGACAAAGCAGGGAGCTGTGGATCTGAAGGCTCAGGGAGAGCCTGGTATCTGGAAGAAGGGGATGGGCATGTGTAAAGGGGCAGAACAACCTGTGAGCAGAGGGTGGCACCCTGGTCACATGAACTGAGTTTGTTCAGCAGGATGCCCATGGGTCTGCCATTTCCCTCTCCTAACCCTCCCTATATTTCCTTCAACCACACACACTGTATGTCCACAAAGACCCACTGCAGTTTTGGTAATTAAATGGTTGGGTCTACCAAATCTGATACAACTGGCCTTGGCCACCACGTCCTCTTCATCTCCTAAGCAACCCAAAGAAGTTGGCAGACCCAGAAAAGCAAAGTGGTGGACCTGTTTCTCTCACCCCACCTACCTTAATGCCTCCTGGTAGGCTGATTTTCAAGCTTGCCATGTGTCCCATGGAAACCCCTACAAGCAGAGGAAGCTGGTGGAAAAGCACCCAGAGGCCTGGGTTCTGGGCGTGGCTTTTCCTGGGTGATCCTGAGCATACCTGCACATTCTGGCTGAGCGTGCCGGATGCAAGGTTTAGCCACCCGCTCTTACAGAGAGTAACATAGACAGCTAGGTAGGTGAGGCACACAGTGTGACCATGATATGACTGCTCATTCCCAATGTGGAGAACACTGGCTCACATGCTACAGTGTTTAAGGCCAGCAAGTGTCAGGCCCTTGGTCCAGTGTTCCTCAGCTGTGACCCAAACTTATTACACGTGGTTCCACGTGGGCCCATCAGGTTGCCCCCATGAGGCTTTGGCAAACCAAAACAAATATGCTGATGCTTGTAGTGCTTGCTATGCCATGAGTAATAAAGTCTCTTGTCTCTGAACCAAGAGTCTGGTAACTTCTGCTAGCATCTGTGAAAGAGAAACAAGCGTAAAACCAAATCTCAGACCCTTCACAGTTCTTGACACCAAGAAAGTGCCCTGCTTATCCCTGAGTCTTGGGCTTTGGGCTAAGTATGCGTGTAGGGAAGCTGTATATCTTTTCTGTTCCAAATCTCCCTCTGCCTTACCAAGTCCATTTCCTATTCAGCAGAGGGAAAGAAGGGACCACATAGAAGGACAGTAGCAGGGACAGAGGCTTACAACCCACTTGGGCTCTAGGCTGAGTGGTGAAGACCTTGAACTTCATGTGCCAAGCAGAGGTGCCTCTCAGCTGTGCTCGTGGAGCAGAGTCTGGCATTTTTTTCTGAGAAAACACTTCCTTTGGAGGGTAATCTGAACTCTGACTGAACCGACTCTTTTATACTCTTAGGTATATACCCAAGAGAATTGAAAACTTAAGTCCATATAAAACTTCATATGCAAATGTTTAGAGCAACATTAATAGCCTGAAAATGGAAATTACCCAGATGTCCATCAACTGATGAAGGAAGAAACCAAATGTAGTAAATCTACATGATGGAATATTATTTGGTCACAGATGAAGGAATGAAGTGCTGTTTTATGGTACAAGACGAACAAACCTTGAGATATGTTAAGTGAAAGAAGCCTATTTCAAAAGGCCATTTTTTATATTATACCACTTACACAAAAGGCCCAGAACAGGCAAATTCATAGAAACAGGAAATAGATCTGAGGTTGCTAGCAGATGAGAGGAACCAGGAATGAGGAGTGACTGCTAATAGGTGTAAGGTTTCTTTTGGGGATGATGACAATGTTCTGGAATTAGTGGTGATAGTTGCAGAATTTTGTGAATATGCTAGAAGCTACTGAATTATAATTTTATGACCTTTTTAAGGAGAATTTTTTAGTATGTGAATTATATCTCAAAAAAGTGCTTATTTTAAAAATTCCTGCTCAGCCTCTTACTGTGTGATCCTGGGAAAGTCATTAAGATCTTAGAGTCCCAGCTTCCTTATTGGTAAACAGGGAATATCTACTTTCCTGGGTAGTGGATATTCTAGGGTGGTCATGAAGACCCAATGAAACGATGCATTTGAAAGTGCTTTGAAAGCTGTTAAATTCAGTAGAAAATTTAGTTAATATTTTCATTTTAAAGAGCTATGTTGCCAATAAGAACAAAAGTCCTTGTTTCTCATTAAAGGAATTTTTGGTTTCACAGCTGTGGAAAATGTTTTGGCAGGAGCATGAGGCACTTACTTACTCTGAAACGGTATGACAGATGGTTTCTAATCTTTGCCTGCTTAAAATTTTGCCATTTCATCCTCCCATCCCCCATGTTGCTTAAACCATTTCAGTTCTGATCACCCTATCCATCAATTGAATGGCTTCTTTCATTACCAGTGTAATGACTGATTTAGGCAAGTTATCACTAGATGCTAAAGCCTTTATAGAAGGTGGTTTTGTTGTTCTTTAATTGCTAAGTCATGTCCGACTCTTTTGTGACCTCATGGACTGTAGCCTGCCAGGATCCTCTCCATGGGATTTCCCAAGCATGAATACTGGAGTGGGTTGTCATTTCCTTCTCCAGGGTATCTTCCTGACCCAGGGATCAGACCCACGTCTCCTTCATTGCAGGCAAGTTCTTTACCACTAACCTGCCAGGGAAGTCCATAGAAGGTGGTGGTTGTTGCTGCTCAATCTCTAAGTCGTATCCGACCCTCCCTCTGTCCTTCAGTATCTCCTGGAGTTTGCTCAAACTCATGTCCAGAAATGTGGTTGGGGAACACTAGGTGCACAGAGGCTTCCTGGTGAACCTGGGACCAGGAGCCCCACGGGGGCCACCCAGAGGCCAAGAGAAGAACTGCAGGCTATTAAACAAAATTCAACCAGGAATAAACTTGTAACAGCTAAAGAATGATTACCTCAATGCATTGGCTTGCTACAAACCAATTTTCCTTGTCACCATTTCAAAAGATCTTCTCTTAACTTTAAATCTCAGCAGGAACCCAGTAATTGCTGATATTTTGAAGTCTGCAGAAGATTTGACATCCTGGCCTGGCAAGGGTTTATGGAATATCTCACCTCCTGTAATAAAAAGTTCCCCTGTATATTGACCCGAAATCCTACCTGTACTAACCCTGGTGTAAACAATAAGATTTTTCACCTGGAGTAGAATCTCCTCGTGGGGCTGCCCTACAGCTGCAAACAGATCCTGGAGGGCATTTGTCTGGCAGAATGATTATATCTGTGCAAACCAATTGCTCAATGCCTGTTCACAGCAGAGCTCAGGAAAAGAATCAATTAAAAAAATTTCCCATCCGGTACATTCCCAATCTGATTAATTCAAATCAATTCAACTTGAAAGACGGGAATGGCGACACAATTAATAAACCGTGACTGGGTGAGGGACAGCTTTGATCCTGGCCTCTCTGGAAGTCTCCAGGCAAATCAATGACCTCCCTGGGGTCCTGGTTCCTTACTGTGATGTGGGGCCAGGGTATCCAGGAATGAAATCTGGATGCAATCTGACAGCAGAACATTTAAGAAAACAGACTTTCTGACAAGGAGCTAATAACAGAAGCAGTGGCTCCTGCTTCAGAAAAAATTTTTTTAAAAGATACGAAAATTTCAGAACAAAGCAGGCAGGCAGTGACCAGGTGACACACTACTGCTCTCATCACCTGGCCTTTCAGGGGTCAATTGGACATATTAACAAAGACAGTGTCCTGGAAGGGAAGGGTTGTGGGCTCTGGAGTCAAGAACCATCTGCATATAAAACCCAGATATCCCATTTCCTGGCTTCCCTGATGGCACAGTGGTAAAGAATCTGTCTGCCAATGTAGGAGATGTGGGTTTGATCCCTGGGTCAGGAAGATACACCGGAGAAGGAACTGGCAACCCACTTCAGTATTCTTACCTGGAGAATCCCACGGACAGAGGAGCCTGGCAGGCTACAGTCCATGAGATTGCAAAGAGTTGGACACAACTTAGCAACTAAACACCAACAACAACCCCACTTCCTAGCTCTGGGATCTAGGGGAAGCTGTCTAACCACTTGGAGCCTCATTCTTCTCATCTGCAAAGTGAATATAATAAAAGCTGCCTTCAAGGTTTGGGAAACGCCAGGCAAGGTGGCACAGCTGGGCTCTGGACCCAAGACAGCAGACTGAAAAGCCACGGGAGGAACCTAAGATCCGCTTCCTGGCCTGAAGAGTTCTCCACCCCTAGATGACCTGTGCCTGCCAGCAGCACATCCTCTTCTAGTAGACGGAGTGCGAGCCCAAGCATCTGGAAACGTGAGTGTGGGATTCTGCAGTGGTCACAGGACAGAGGTACTGGGAGGCGAGAGGTACTGGTGGTGGAGTAAGACCTTACTTCAGAAGCTGTGGGCAGGAGTCAGGGTGGAGTGGTAGGAAGGAGAGCTGGCAAGGTGGGACTTGGCTACATTCAGGCTTCAGGGAGAGGGACAGGGGGCCTTTTGGTGACTGCACAGGGTAGACAAGGGCCTGTAGGAAGCTCCGGTCAGATAAGCCTTCTGGGCCTATCTGTACCCAGCTCCCAAACTGCAGGAAAGCAGAGTTTGGCCTTCTGAGATCGAACATGATGAGGAGCCACAGGAGAGACAGGGAACCCTGATCAAGTGTAGGAACAGAAGGGAGGCGCACTCTTCCACCCACCTGGGTGGCGGCGTTGGCAAAAGTGCCAGTGCTGTCGGGGGCAGGCCTTGGCCCCTTCACTGGATGATGACGGGACGGAGGGACAGGGAGATTGATGGACCAGGCAGAGCCGGCCAAAAAGGGAAGGGACTGCACTCAGGAGATATAACAGGCTTGCACCCCTGGAGGGGACCCAGCAGAGGCTGGCCTGGATCTGGCAGGGTTATTGCAAAGGGGTTCCAGGCTCAGGTGGTTGTCTGGACTGTCTCACTGTTTGGGAACCTTCCAATCTGAGATTCTCTGAGTCTGTGGACCACGTGTGATGCAAGGAGGGATTTAGCATGGTTTTCTCTAAGCAGCTCTGGGGCCCAGATCAGCACCAGTGCCAAGGGGAGAAAGGACTAGAGTGTATGGGTGTCCACAAAGCCCTCTAAGAGCCTCACCAGAAAGAGGCGCTCAGGGGACGCTCCTCAGGACAAGGTACCCCAGGCAGAGGAGCTCCAGAGGGCAGTGAGACCGGACTTTGGGACAAGAGGAAGATCAAGGCTCCAAATCAGTCTTGCTGAGAAATCTAGGTGTGTGTGTGATCTGGACCAAGCTGTGTCAGGAAGAGACCACACAGGCCCAAGATGAAAACACACTCAGAGCCCTTGGTGAGCAGCACATTTCAGAAAAACCTTCCAATAGAAAGGACCCAGGAATTGCTCCCAGACAGATGGCTAAGAAGACTGTGTCAACTGACTCAGACTACACTTTCTTCATGTTTCTCTCTTCAAAAGGAATAAAATATGGATGGTTTAAGAAATCATCCAAGTCCAAGTTGTTTTGGGGAAATGGAAAAGTAAATGAAACAGAGAAAGAGACCATGTCTGACAGAACCGCCTGGCTTTGGATCTGAGGAGCCCATTGTGACGGGGGTGATTTAGGAATTGCTATATCTCTTCATAATGCCACTAGCCATGACATCTGAGAAACTGTGGGAATAAGATGAAAAATGTCTGAGTTCTGGCAAATCTTTTCACAGAGAAAAACAGAATGACACTGAAAATTCCAGTTCAATCAGCTTCATGGCAATACCTGAGAAGGTGATATAATCAACTTCCAGTCAGTCAGGCTGCAGGCAGTGTGGGGGGAAGGGAGGGCCAACCTGCCCTGCTACAGAGACACCAAAGGGGAGACTTAACCCCCTTCACATCTTACTGTGCAGTTCATGCACAACACGAAGAGGAAAGATTAACTGGAAGATTAACTGGAAGAGGAGTTCATACTACAGACAATTGCTCAGGTTGGGGTCTACTTTACAGAAAGTGGATAAATGCTGAGAAGATGGATTATCAGAGGCTTGTGAGAGACAGATGCAGCCAGGACCCCAAGATGGGTATTAGAGTCTATTTGCTTCTTGGCCTAGATCAGCAGGTTTCAGGCTTGATAAGTCACAGAGTACTTTTTTCCTAAACACACTCTTTATAGAAACTCTACATCTGCAAGATGGAAGAAGCAGGCTCCCCTGGTAGAAGGGTATGGGGAGGTGGAGGTGGGGGATGTAAGTGTTCCAACCACCCCCTGCCCCCCAACGCCTCCTCAGGAAAACTTAGGCCTCAGAGCAGTCAGAAAATCGCTGAGGTGGATAGAGGAATTGAGAGCAAGCTGATTAAATGTGACGTTGATTACAAAATAGGTAGATTCAATAAAACACAAGGAGGCAGGGAAGATTTTTATAAATAATCTCCAACAATGGCAAGAATTCACTAGACCAGAGAACTAACTCAACATGGCAGTGCGGGTGGGGAAATGGGTCTGTCCCCCGTCCCTCCCCGACCCCGCATCTCCCCCGCCTCTCCCCCGCCTCCCCCACCAGCAGATACATACTCAAAACAGGGAACACAACCCAGATGAATTCAGTGTAGCTCAGGCTTACCACAGCAGCTAACAGAAAAGAGATAAATCTAGGTTCCAGTTTAAAAATTGTGAACAAAACTTTGATTCTGATTTGAATAGGCTCATTAAGTTCCTCAAATAAACAATGACTTTGCCTCAGTTTATAACTTCAAAGAAGGAAAGATTCTTTTTTGAGCATTCAGCAAAAGAATGTTTAAGAGGCCCTTTTAGCTACGGTATGCTTTTTTTTTAAGGTTGTGGTGAAGTATATGTAACACAAAACTTGCCAGTTTAACCATTTTTAAGTGTCCATGTCTGTGGCATGAATTACCTGCACAAATGCCGTGAAGCCAGCACTTCTATTTCCCAAACCCTTCCATCACTCCAAACAGAAACTCTGAACCCAGTAAACAATAACTCTTCATGCTCCCTCTCCCGGCCCCTGGTACCTTCTAGTCTACACTCTGTTTCTGTCAATCTGTCTATTCTCGATACTTCATATAAGCAGAATCATGTAATATATGCCTTTTGTGTTTGGCTTCTTTCACTTAGCGCAGTGTCTTCAGGCTTCATCCATGTTGTTGCGTGTGTCAGAATCTCAGTCCATTTTATGGGAGAATAATACTCCATTGTATGGGTAACACTTTGTTTATTTGTTCATCTGTTGATGGACACCTGGGCTGTTTCCACCTTTTGGCTCTTGTGAATATATGGTGTGCTTTTACAGGCATGAGATGAAGAAAGTGGGACTGTCCACGGAGGGATAAATAGGTTCGGGGGAGGCGGGCTTGACCACAGCAAGACCAAAGGGCAAGAGGGACTGAACACAGAGCAGGAGCGAGGCTGTAGCCTCAGAGAAGGAGCCGGTGGAGAGGCAGGGAGCCAGGGTTAACCCCTGCCTTGCAGCACAGCAACAGACTGAGCACCCAGCTCAATCTGCCAAGTCACCTTGGCCAGCCCTGCCTCTCCCTCAACCCACTCAGAGGCAGGGCTGTAGCACACCAGATGGTTGTAAGGTCCTTCCAGTTCTGACCGTCAATCCTTCAAGATACTGACCATCAGGCGATGAAACAGTGAACAGCCCAATGAAGGACTCTGTTTGGAGGGTGGAGGGAGAAAGAGGACTCTGGAGGTGACAAAGGCCCAACTCCCCAGAAAGGAGAACAGGGTGCCCCCTGCAGAGGGTGTAGGGAGTGGTAGCAGGGCCTAAGGCCCCCAAGGGGCTTGGCTCCACGTGAGTGTCCAGGAGGAGCAGAGAAATGGTTACAGCACAAGCTGGACAGGGCTTCTCCCTGCCAGGATAGAGTGCTTTCTAGAACCAGACTGGCCCCATCAGGGAATTCTTAGTGAAAGTGAAGTCGCTCAGTCATGTCCGACTCTTTGCGACCCCATGGACTGTAGCCTACCAGGCTTCTCCATCCATGGGGTTTTCCAGGCATGAGTACTAGAGGGGCTCCCATTTCCTTCTCCAGGGGATCTTCCCGACTCAGGGATCGAACCCAGGTTTCCCGCATTATAGGCAGACGCTTTACCCTCTGAGCCACCAGGGAAGCCCAGGGAATTCTTAAACCAGTGGGAACGAACTGGAGGAAGAGGTTGGTGGGCAAAGCAAATGGGAACCTGGCTGATTTCTACAACTGACCCTAATAACCTATGGTCAGGTCACCTCAAAGGACACAGCTTGGATGGAGACACGGCATGCTTAAGAGGAGACATGGGAAAAAAATATAGAGCAGGGTCTCACATCCATATCCCTAGCCATGTGGCCTAGTTGAAACAATGGACCCCTCTGGATCTCCCTCTCATCTATATGATGGGCAGCTCAAAAGCCATCATCTCTAAGGCCTCCTCCAGGGCCATCTCTGGGGCACACTGGAACCCAGAAGAGGTGTGACCTCTTTCAGCCATTCTTTCAGCAGATTTTTAGTGACCACTGCTCTGTTCTCGGCTTTGTGCTGGGTGCCCTTCCTTTGGCCCATCTGATACCCAGAGGACAGATGGAAGAGATGGCAATAGAATCTTCTTGTTGTAGAGATGGGCAAAGGCTAATGGAAACAGCCTGTACAAATAAACACCCCCAGACAAACTATGGCCCCTGCAGTCTGGCTTGCTGCCAGTGCCAATCAAGAGGTATGATCCAGCATCAGGCACCTGGGTCCCGAGCGTGACCCTCCAGCTCCATCGTGGTGAGCTTATCAGAGGGCTGGGAGGCGAGGGGAGAAGGCAGCTGGGGATCAACTGTAAACTGGACTCACCTTCACGCAAGAATAGATCACGGACACAAACACCACCAAGGTCAGCAGCAGGAAACAGGTCAGGTAGAAACTCAACATGAACACGGAGCTGGAAGGAGAGAGGAGGTGGGAATTCCAGGGCTCTGAGAGGCCCTGCGAAGGAAGCAGAACTTGCTCATTTCTCCTGCACCCACTGCCCAGACTTTGGTGCCTGGCCCCTGACTCACCGAGGGGAGATTAGAGCCTTGTGAGCCGATCTAGGACCCTCCTCCGTAATGGTCTGGCTCCTGCCCTTCCTCTTGGTCCTGTCACTTTCCTGGGGGAGCACAGCCCACAGCAGGGGCGAATGGAGAACTGGTGACACCTGCTCAGTGTTTTACCTAATCCTTAGCTATCCATAGACTCATTTTGTTTAACTGGGAAGGACCTATTTTAAAAATCACCTGGTTGTTCCCTCCAGGTAGTCACTCATGGCTTGACAAGTAACTCTGAAGATGGAACATTGATTTGATAAATGGCCATCATTTATAGAAATGCATTTGTCAACAACACAACCAGCCACTCTGAGAAACAGTAGTGACATGTCCCTTTGGAGGGCAGAGTCCCTAAAGCTGTGCCCACTGTCAGGCTGCACAACAGTCCTGCTCAGTCCTTCTGTTCCCCTACTCCCACCCAGCTCAACAAGTCATAAAACCCTCCAGGCTCTCCACATTGTCACTCCTTACAGGAGCAGATCACAGGTGAGCTTAATGTTCACCAAGAGCCAGAATCATTGGACGAGAGAACTGCAGATGACTTTCCATCTGGGGCCTGCCTCGGCTCTCCTGGGACAGGGGCTGGCCGAGGCATGGCACTCTCCACCAACCACAGGAGCTTCAGACACTCCTTCTCCCTTTCGGGGAGTGAGATGGCCTGAGATGCCAGGCGTTGTCCGCAGGTTAGAGGCAAGTGGGGGACACAGAGGGCAGGTGGACACCTCCAGGGAGGCGTCTTTGTTCCAGGCTCTCCCAGGAGCCAGCACTTATCTGTCTTAAACAAATAGAACAGGCAGAGAGAGCTCTCTTCAGAGGGAAAGAAAGACCTTTAAAGTAGCTTTTAAGGCTTCCCTGGAGAGAGGACAGCCAGATAACGACCTCTGTCCATGCCTTAGCAGCTCGGTGCTGTGGCCAGGAGGGAGGGAAGCTGCTGCTGGCAGAGCAGGGATCTGCAAAATCCCAGCCCCAAGCCACGCTGCGGAAAAAGAGAAGCAGCAAGGAGGCGGACTGTGCATCCAAGCGAAGGGGACTCTCAGCTGCAATGGGACAGAAAGTCTAGGTTGCTTATTATAGCTATAGCTCCATTTCATTACTGAACGTAGGTCCCTGCCATAAAGACCCACAATCCCACCAGCTCTGCACAGCCTCAGTGCAGGGGGCAATGGGCACTAGCTGCCTAGCCAGGGAGCAACTGGCTGCTGGTGTTTGGTTTTCACCTGCAGTATTCTGATAGGGTCACGGCAGACACAAACACAAGGGCCATCTCTTCAACAATAAGCACCATTAAAAAATAAAAAGCATTGAGTAATAAGACACCATGACGTGTGCACCTCCCCATATGATGCACTGAGGACACTTCTGTGGGATTCTTGTCAAAAATAACCTCCATCGAATCATGAGGAAACATCAGACAAACCTAAATTGAGACATTCTAAATCGAGACATTCTACACATTAAAAAAAAAAATTTTTTTTGGCTGCCTGCAGCTTGTGGGATCTTAGTTCTAAGATCAGGGATTGAACCCTGGGCCTCTTGCATTGAAAGCATACAGTCTTAACCAGTGGGCCACCAGGAAGCCCAAGACATTCTACACATTAATTGGCTAGTACTCAACAAAAGTGCCAAATCCACGAAGGATCAGTAAAGGCTGAGGAAGCATCACAGCCTAGAAGGGACTAAGGAGATACAGCAGTTAAATCTAATGTGGGGTCCTGGCCCAGTGCCTAGAACACAAAAAGGCCATTTGGGGGAATGCTGATGGAATGAGAATATAGCCTGTAGATTAGTTCATAGTATCGTTGCAATGCTGACTTCCCGATTTTGACTACCGTACTATAGTTATGTGGGTTGTTAACAATAGGAGAAACTAGATGAAGGATGTACAGAAACCCTCCACAGTACTTTTGCAACCTTTTTATAAGTTTATAATTATTTCAAAATGAAAAACAGAAGGTGTTGGGGTGAGGGGACACTTCTAGATTGTTAGATTTAAGAGACATAACCAAATGCAACCAGTGACTCTTGAGGATATCCTGGCTATGAATAAATTAGAAGCAGAAGACATTTAGGGGTACAGTTTTGGAGATTTGAACATAGACTTGGTATTAGATGATTGCAGAGGAACTGGGGTTAGTTTGGTTTGGTATAGGAGGCATGGTGGTTAAAAAGCAAAATGCCTTTAAAACAGGTGTAGATTGACATTTCATCAGGGGCACAATGTCCCTGTGTCTAAAATTTACCTTAAAAAATCAGAAATACACCTGAAACTAACACAACATTCTAAATCGACTATACTTCAATTTTTAAAAATCAGATAAAAGCAGATGAAACAAAATTTGCAAAATATTAACAGTTGTTCTACCAATGGGGTGGGTGTTGATTACATTAATTACTTCTCTGTATGCTTGAAATATTGCTTAATGAAAAGTAAAAGATGTGTATATACGCATATATATATATACACACACATAAACACATATGTGGAGTGGTTATCTTTCTCACTTAGCTGTGAACCTACAGTGACTGACTGTCTAACAAACACTTCATTTCCAACAGCCCACTTCCGAGTGGTTCCCTCAGAAAACACAAGCCTCTCAGGACATGGCCAGTCCTCAGAAAAGTTCAGGAACATCTCTTTGAGAGAAGCCTTCAGAATCTGAGATCCATTCTTTGAAATATCCAGAGTAGCAGAAAACCCTTATCTTAAAAAAAAAATTACTTATTTTTTATATTTTGGCTGTGCGGCATAGCACGTGGGCCCTTAGTTCCCCAACCAGCAGTCCAAATCCAACCTGTGCCCCCTGCGTGGGAAGCACAGAATCTTAACTACTGGACCAATGGGGAAGTTCAACCTTTATCTTTTGAAGATGCTTTGACTTTTTGCAAGAACCAAAGGTCACACAGAAACCAACCTGGTGAATACTTTGGGTGATTCAGTGGGCAACAGTGGTCTGTGTTAAAACAGGATGAGAGGATGAAGTGGAGAGAAGGGGTGTCCCACGCGCTGGCTTGTGCCCAAATAGAAGTTCCCCACAAAGAGCACTTCACCTCCCCATCAGGGAGGAGGCAGACCTCGGCTTCCTGGTTCCCCTGAGCACACATTTGGAGACTTCTCTCCTATCTGAGCAAACTCAGCTCAGATCCCACCCCCCTCTGATCTCCTATGACCTCTTCTTTACCCTTGTAGCCCCTACAGCCAGAAGAGGTTGCTTGGAAGGGATGGGGTACTTACTGGGGCACGATGGTGATCTGGACAAAGCAGATGAAGAGGAAGACGAGTGAGGCACATGCCACGTAGGCACCGAATCGGTCATCCACCTGCTTGGAGTACTGAGAGGACATGGACAGGGTGAGGGGGCGGTCACCCGGCCAGTCTGCTCCAGCCCCCTTCACCCGAGACACAGCTGGGACTGCCCACTCCCTACACCTGGAAGGCCAGGTCAAGAAGCAGCACTGGCCACAGCTCTCAAGAAATCAGTCCACTCACCACACTGTGGTGGCCGTGGGGAGGGCGGCTGAACTGTCTTAAACCAGAAACTCTGCAGGCTGGGTCACCATGAGAGGAATCCATAATGATCATGGCATACGTTCCTAAGCACCACCTACACACTAGGACATGTGCCGGAGCCTGCAGGCATCACTGCACATCCTCACAAGAGTCCCAGGAAACAGGTATAGGACTGCTACTGTTTCTGTTTCAGAGATGAACATGCTGGGTCTCAGAGAACCCAGGCGGCTTGTCAAGAGTCACAGAGCTCATCTCCAAGGTCCTGACTCCCAGCTCCCACCCCTCCCATGACATCAACCAGCTGCAAGGATGGCTGTGCTGGCAGAGAGAGGGTAATGCATGAGTCAGTTCCATTTATGCCGGTAAGCAGACTAAGTTCCCTTCTCATAGCTCCCCCCTCCTGATCTGGTGTGCCTCACTTGGCCACGATCATGAGTTCACATGATCCCATGTTGCCCAAACACAAGGGAGACCCTGTGACGTGTAGCAGAGACCCTGGACCCACTCTGTTTGGTTCCGGTTCTGTCTCTACCTCACTGGGTGGCCTAGGGCAAGCTCACTTTGAGCTTTACTTTCTCAGTCACAATTTAAGGAGGGGGGACGAGAGCTCTTGACCACCCCTTCCAACTCAAATACTTTGAGGTTCCAGTGTGCCAAAGGCAGCTGATGGTCCATTTATCATTATGATGATAATAACAATAATACAAATAGCAGTATTTACTGAACATCTACTATGTGGCAGATACTGTTTCATGTGTTTTACACATATGGACTTGTTTAATCCTCACTGACACTGTGAGGTAAATACCTACTGCGTTTTCCAGATAAGGAAACTGAGGCACAAAGAAATTAAGATTTACCTTTTTCCACTGAGAAAGTCTCCCTAAAAGCCCCATTTCCTGGTTAGGACAGCGTCAGAGCTGGGGAAATGGAGGTGACAAGGAGGAGCTCTTTCCATGGTAATGGAAGTGGGAAGGGAGCCAGCCTGTTGCTTCGACCCCCCTCCCCGTGGTCCTGATTCTGCCTGGGGCCCCTCCTTCCCACATGGGGTGCTGTACCTTCTTCTCTAAGTCAGGCTCCCTGAAGGTCAAGAGGAACTTGCGAACATGTTCAGATCGCAGCCTGTCGATGCTCCTGGCATCAATGGCACGGCCCAGAAATTCATCCACTTCATCCTCAGGGTTCGAACTTTCCTGGGCGTTCCTGGTGAGCAAGGAACCGCAGGCACAAGATAGGCTGGCCACCAGGGGGCGCTACTGCGGGGGGGTACTGCCGGCTCAGCCCTGTACCCAGACCCACTAGAGGGGCTGTATCAACCCTAATTAGGGGGTGGGAAGCTGAGAGTGACTCCAGGACAGCCAGAATCTTAAGTGCTTACATGCGCAGAAAACTTCCCAAGTCTCAGAAAACTGCCCCCGCGGGCTTTGGGGGCTTCACTGACCATAGTGAAAATGAAAGTGTTAGTCACTCAGTAGTGTCTAACTCTGTGACCCCATGGGCTGTAGCCTGACAGACTCCTCTGTCCATGGGATTCTCCAGGCAAGAATAATGGAATGGGTTGCCATTTCCTTCTTCAGGGGATCTTCCCGAGCCAGGGATTGAAGCTAGGTCTCCTGCATTGAGGGCAGGTTCTTTACCATCTGAACCACCAGGGAAGCCCCCGACCATAAGGATTTTCTAACTTTATTGGTATATATATTATTATACGATAATGATAAAACATGTAACCCTCCAGGCTCCTCTGTTCATGGGATTCTCCAGGCAAGAATACTGGAGTGGGTTGCCATGCCCTTCTTCAGGGAATCTTCCCAACCAAGGGGTCGAACCTGCGTCTCTTACATCTCCTGTATTGGCAGGTGGGTTTTCTTTACCACTAGCACCACCTGGGAAGCCCATATATGTTATATATGATAATGATAATATGAATTATCATCAAAGGTTTGTTTTTTCCCCTGCAGGTAACAATCTCTGCTCTTAACTCTTCAGCTGTACCATCATCCTGAAATCAAAGGCTGAGACCAGAAGGCAAGACCTCTGCCACAAGACCTGGGAGCCTCCTGGCTGCTCTTGCCTGACTCTGGGGACTCTATGGGAAACATGGTGCACAATCTTTTGGTGCTAAACTAAACACTCTACTTCTAGAGTGAAGCCCAGTCCTCGAGTGGGATTTCTGACAGCCCCAGAAGTGGGGAAGTGGAGGAGAGAGAATGGGATACTCCCTCTGGTCGCTGGGATAGGGCCAGGAGCTGGCGACCAATGTATAAGGCCCGCCGCAGCCTGGGAGCTGCACATGTGTGTAGGTGCGAGTACACATGCAGAGTGTGTGTGTGTGTGTATAGTTGTGTGTGTGCACGTGTGTGTGTGGAGTGGAGATTATAAACGGGTGGTCCCGAGGCCCAGCCTCTCTACGGGGCCTGGGCTCCCGAGCTGCTGGTCTCTCAGGTGCAATGGGCTCTGACTGCGTGTCCTGAGCTCATCCTCTCCAGAGCACAGAAACCCAGCTCCAGGCAGCTTGGAGGCAGCCCCCAGACCGAGGAGCAGGAGTGAAGAAGGGCACATGACTCACTTGTCCTTGGGGTCTTCAAAGCCCTGAAAAAGAGGGATGGAGGGAGAAGGAAAGGAGCGTGAGAACAGAGGGGATGAAGTCAGGGGGGCTGCAGCTCATCCTCTGCCCACAGTTCACCCAGAGCTCGGACACAGACAGCATTGTACTCAGCCGTCTGCTCCTTCCTTCGTTTGGTGAACACAGCTGGGGTTGGGACAGGCTCCATGCTGGACACTGGGGGTGCACTGTGATTTCACTTCCTCCACTGGCAAAATCCATGTGTCTGAGCTCTTCTGGTCCCCACACCTGATTCCTCATCTTTCTCCAAACCTCCCGTCACTTTCCTCCTGGACCATGGGCTTGGTGGTGTATATGTGTTAGTTGCTCAGTTGTGTCTGACCCTTTGTGACCCCATGGACTGTAGCACACCAGGCTCCTCTGCCCATGGAATTCTCCAGGCAAGTGTACTGGAATGGGTAGCCATTCCCTTTTCCAGGGGATCTTCCTGCCCAGGGATCGAACCCACGTCTCCTGCACTGCAGGCAGACTCTTTACCATCTGAGCCACCAGGGGCTTGGTGGGTACCCTCCCCATTCTCCCACTTACTTAGATGGAAATAAGAGAAACTGCTAAGTCAGTGAATCCCCACATGCCTGTGCACACCCATGCACACACAGCTCATGGACACTCACCGCCCCCACTGCCAAGCACACAGAGAATCTGGGAGTTCACAAGTTTTGTGCTTAAGAACATGAAACTCTGGTTACCTGAAACAGCTTTTCTGGTATCTGAGAATCTGTGTTCTTGTCAGGCTGGGGTGGCTGGGGACCCAGGAGGTGAGATACCTGTAGTCAAACCTGCCCCAGTTTGACTACTGTCCTGATGTTCTGATGTTCACTCACACAGGGCAGGGGTGAGTTACCAAACTCAAGGCCCTACCTAGAGTCCATCTACGAAGTCCACAAAGGAGAGCGGTGTGTCAGGGTCTGACTGTGATGGAATGGAGGGAAGAGTCCCTAAACGGGGAGGGATGGGACTCGGGAGGCAGTGCGGGAGACATAAGCACCCAGGGCAGGCAGCTTCAGGCTGCCAGGACGAGGGCAGAGCGTGCCCTCCTGTCCCTGTGATCCAGCGTGGAACATACTGCTGGGCAGACAGGGGGCTGGTAAACATCAAGGAGGCCCAAACCCCAGAGGAACACATCCTTCTTCATTCCCGCTGAGGAGGGGGACTTACGTTGGTCCCCAGGAGTCAGAGCTTCCCGGCTCTGAATAGACGTGGGGCCCGTGGGAACTGAGGTGTCTGTTCTCCCCGCCAGCTCGGGGCCCGCAGGGGCCTCGGCAGGCCCTAGTGCCACATCCAAGGGCCTGACCGTGGGCTCTGAGAGCCTCCTGGGCTGCCCAGTGGAGCTCTTCCCTTCTCCTTGTCCTCAGAATCTCCAAGCCCTCCGTCCCGGCTACAGGATCTGGCCCATCACACCATCCCTGCTCGAAACTTGAGGAGCCGGGGTCACTCAGGTGAGTGCCCCATCTAGGGGCAGGCGGGACCCCTCAGGGTACAAGGCCCATTCTCCATAGGCCACGGTGCCTCAGAGGACGTCCAACCCACGTTATGCCTATACTGGTCTCTACAGCTCAGAACTAGAGCCGACATGTGTCTAACAAACCTGTCTCTGAGTTTCTCCAGCATTCCTTTGGTCATGTGTATGGGCTGCTGTTGGGGGCTGTGTCCGCTGTAGGCTCCCTGAGTGCCAGGTTGGAGTGGTGAGCTGACAACTGTCAGAAAACACTTTGGTGGATGAACCATAGCAAAAGGCCTCTGAGAACACAAACCAGGATTCCCCTGATGGTCAGGTGGTTAAGAACTCGCCTTCCAGTGCAGAGGATGCAGGTTTGATCCCTGGTCAGGGAACTAAGATCCCACTTGCCTTGGGGAAACTAAGCCTTCATGCCATAACTACAGAGCCTGCCCACTCCAGAGCCTGTAACAAGAGAAGCCCGTGTACCATGACAAAAAGCCCACGAGCCACAGCTAGAGAAAGCCTGTGTGCCCCAACAAAGAGCCCGCTTGCCACAAGGAAGACCCGGTATGGCAAAAACAAACAAACACAGAAACAACCCACAGGCCAGCGGGCTGGGTTCCAGTCCCTGACCTGCTCACCAGCTCTAGGACTGTGGTCCTCAGCCCAGGTGGGGGGGGGGGGGGGTCCTCAGATGGGTTCCTGCAGTTCTGCCTCAGCACTTCTGGGTAGCAGCTCAGCCCAGGGTTTCTGTCTGGGGCCCAAGTCCTCACCTTACACACTCCCCTGCCAACCTTTGTATTAATAAATAACCTTAGAGACTTTACGACACATGCCTAAAGCTCCTCACTATGCTTAACAAGCTGGGTAAAAGATGGATCAAGATTTAAAGAAAGAAGCTTCTGTCTGCTAGTTACTACCCTTTAACTGCTCTCAGTCACTCCTCAATCTAATTCCTCAATCTAATCTCCACCCCATCTTCAGTGAAATTCCAGGAAGAAGCTCTCTTTTTGCGTATCTTTCTCCAGGGTTTCTGGGCAGGTTTAACACCTAAAGCCAATGGTATTCCAGACAGGACACTCTGACTGGGCAGGCAGGGGCCCAGGAGATGGTACTTCGATGCTGGCCTCTTGGGTAACTCTGCCCAGCAAGGAGGGGGGTGGGGAGCCTCTTCTCTCCTTCTACAGGGGTGTCCTCAACACTTATCTTCTGCTCACTTTCCATTTCCTCCCCTCTGGGCGAAGCAATTAACACCACGAGGAACCTTTCCTGCAGCCAGTCTCCCCTGAGACTCTTTCCCAATTACGGCCCTTCTGCTAATTCTTCCAAGGCTTCTTGTCCTAACAATGATTAATGTGTCTGCCAAATAGGTGCTTATAGTCCAAACTAGCTCCTCTGAGACTCTGAAATAACTGAAGAGTCTACTTATACCAAACATCACTAGAGAAAAGAACTTTGCAAAGATTTTAAACAGAGAATGGACAGCAGGCAGCCTGCCTGCTGGTACTTCTCCCTCCTCACCTCTGTCCCGCCACATGGCTTTCTTCTCTCTTCTCCTGGATCTCTCCACCTCCCCCTTACCCTCTTTCTCCAGTCTTTCTGCTCCCCTGTGCTTCTCTTTCCTCCCACCTGCATGAGAGCTTCCCTCTTTGCATCCTGTTCTCAGTCTTCCCCCTCTCTCTCCTCTCACCCTCTCTTTCACCTCTTGGCCATCCTGGTCACACGGTACAGAGTCTGCAGAGGATGGTTAAAGAACCGGGGTGAGAAGAGAGAAGGTCCAGTAATTGCTTTGCAGAGGGGTCTGGAGGGAGCTGGAGTGGTACCTGGAGCCCTGGGTGGCACTGACCAGGTCCAAGTTCAAAGCACTGAGGCTAGAGGCCAGCCTTCCTCCACTCTGTGCCTTATATTATGACCCTGGTGTCCTGCAAGTTGCCTCTTTACTGTCAAAAGTTAAAGTGGTGGTTCTGACTCAACTTACTTTTCTACTTCGGTGCATTTTCGTTAAAACTTCGTCATTTGCTATTGGCTAGCTGGCAAGGAGCAGAATGACTGGTCCCCAGACTGTCCCCTCCCTCAGACCCCTGGATCTGTCTGCCGACTCAGCTGGACTCTTACAGTCTCTAGTCACTGCAGCTGCAACTTAAACCCAGTCTGAGCCACAGATCCCAACGTGGGGGTCCTCGTGTGGGTGGCATGCCTCTCATTCCTTGATCAGAATCTGTGGGAACTAAATGGACACACACACACACCATCCCTCTCTCAGGGTGGGCAACTCCTGCCTGAGAATCAGGCTGCCCTGTGTGTTCAGATGTAGAGGCTAAGCTCTCAGGAAAAAAGAAAGGAAACACTGCTGCTGAAACCGACTTCCTGTCACCCTTCTCCCTCTTCTTCCCACCCGCTAATGTCTTCCTTCCAGCCTCACTGATAGAATCCTGGCAGCACCTTCTGAATTAGCTGTCCCGGTGTGTGCAGGGGCGGCTGAGGGTGTCTGTCCCCCGAGGCAGGCAGGGTCCCTTGAGATGGAGGCAGCGCCCCTACCACAGCCTCCACTCACTCAGCCCACACTCAGTCCGGATGGTCTCACAGGGAGACTGGAATTAGCAGGGTGTTTCTCAGCCCTGAGGGCAATAAGACCATCTCCTGTCACCTGCCAAAAAGCAGTGGGATTTTTTCTGGGTGACTGAGCCAGAGTATATGTTTCAGCTGTCTGGGAAATGTACCAGATGCTGGAAGGTGTCTGAAAAGCTGGTGCCCACCTAACTCCCCAGGGGTCCTCAGACAGTTCCAAGAGAACCCTGGAGGCTCTATGAGACCCTGGGTCTAGCCTGCACCAGCAAGCTCTGCCAAGAAGGGGCATTGCCGCTCTGCTCCAAAGTCAAATCCAGCATGCCAAGAGATGAGGGCCACACAGAAAGCCCGGGGCTGGAAGTTAGGTGCTCTGGCTCCTGATTCCAAGTCAGGGTGAACCCCTTTCCGACATTTCCTCCCGTGGCTCCTCAGGTTCCCTTGGCCACATGAGGGGCCTGACCCAGTCCCCTCACCCACAGGAGGCCCCAGCCCTGGAGAGTAAGGCCCACACACTGCCCCGCCAGCCACTCACCATCCGCTTCATCTCCTTGGACACCTGGTTGCCACCCAGGTGGTTGTAGAAAGGGCGCTCGGCCCCCCAGTGAGGCGGGTTGTGCCCGATGGAGTTGGTTCTCTGACGGTTCATCTTGGCAATCATGGCCTTCTCTTCTTTCTGGGAGAGCAACAGAAAGGCATCAGCCCATGGACAGGGCCCATCGGGTGAGCCCATGCAAAGTTTCATTTCTCCCAATGCTTGGCCAGGTAGGAGTTGTGGCAGAGGCCTCTTCCTTCTCTGCACAGCCTGGGGCCCTAAAGTGCACCCAGGAAATCATCCTAAGTCCCTCCAGACTCCCCAGACCAGTGCTGGCTGGGGGCTGTGAGCCTCAGGTGGGAGCAGCAGGACAGGATGATGAGGTTGGTCTTGTTGGGAAGCCATGGGGCATGGGAACATCTGTCATTGGCACAGAATGTTAGAGCCTGGGTCTGAAAGTACCTGGGAGTGATGCAGGGAGAGAAACCCGAGATTCCAATTTCTACCCCAAAACAGGCTTGTTCTAGCACAGTGAACAGTAGAACAGGTCCTGCTGCTCAGAGGCAGCTTCGGGAGGTTTGGGTCATCAGAACGTGAGGTTCAAGGGCTGACATGGCATTGTACAAATACACAGACGGGGCCTCAGCCAGCTCTCCGTGTGCCAACCACGATCTATCTGTTCATCCATCCAAACGAGCTAGGGGTGGAGGGCTGGAGAGGTCCTGGGAGAAACAGGGTGGCCTTCCCTTGTTCTCCATCCCTGAGCCTGGGAAGGCAGCTGCTCAGATCAGGGAGGCAGAGGGGAGAGATATAGCCTGCTCCAGCAGACATGGCTCTGGGTTGGGGCTAGGGTTGGGGGTTGTCCCATTTCATCTTTTCTGGACCACTTGTCAAGCTAGAAGAACCAGACCCAGAGAACCCAGGGCAGAGGGTAATCCTTTATCCTGGGGGGGGGGGGGCAGGATGAGGAGGCCTGTGGGCCCAGCGGAGAGGAAGGGTGTGGGAGGAGGGCCTGGGAGAATTTCAGTTCATTTATACTCCAGCCAAACAACAGGCAAATGCTTTAAAATGAGTCAACTAAACCACAAGGCACTTCCCCCAAAGTACCTACACCCTCCCATCCCTCTCCCAGGTGTCTGTGGCAGGCCTGACACAGCTCCCTCAGGGACCCTCCTCAACACCCCCCACACCCTGCTCCCTGCAGCCAGGATCCATGTGCTGGGCTGCCCAGAGAGGGTGGGGTACCCCTCTTATGTCCCTCACAGGGTGGGCGCCTGCCTCAAACAATTCTGCCCACTTTGAAAAATCTACTTTTGCTGTCTCCAAGACTTTCGCTGAAATTTTCTCACAGCTTAATTTTGTCTTTAGTCTAACTCCTAATGAAAGAAACAGGGAAGTTTTTTCTATCAAAGGGCTCTGACCAACAGATTAATTCAATTGGAAAATTTATAAGTAAAAGGCATTTAAATCTAGGGAGAAATATAAAGTGGGTAAAATAGAAAATGCTCTCGTTTGCTTTAAAAATTAAGAACATGGAACATGACACTATTAAAAATAGAACACTGAAGTCTGCTAATAATTCTGTTTTATATTTTGGCAAGTGTGGGCTGAGACAAAAGAAGGAAGAAGAAAGACTAGAAAGTGAGAGGGGGGAAGGACAGAGTATGAAGGAACAGAGATATATAAGTACAGGCAGAGAGAGAGAACAAGATCAACCTAGTTAGGCAACAGATAAGGAATGAGATGGAAATAAAGGACACTGTATACCCTGATGCTTCATGTCCATCTCATGGTCTTCTGTTGCATTGTTACTAACTGATCTGAGGTCTGTTGCATTTTTGCAACAGAAGGAAAATGAAAACATTTCCTGTTTGCCATCAGCCTTTGCTAAGCCTCTGTGTCTCGCATGTCCTTCTGGAGGTGCAGGAACCACAACTGCATCGGGACTTGACTCAACGAAAGAGTAAGAGGAGAAGGAAGCAGCAGGCCAAGAAACATTCCTCCCCCAAGGAACGAAGCTCTTCCATCGTCCCCCCCTTCTACCGCAGGCCCCTGCCCACGCCCAACCCCGCCCCAGCCCTTGGCCCCCGGACCCGCTTCTGGGTGCAGCGCAGGATGAGAAAGGTCTCGATACTGTGCTCCTTGAGGTAGGCGTTGCGCTCGCCCCCACAGCCTGGCTCCACCTCGTAGTCACCATTCAAGTAGTTGAGTGTGGCCTTGGTGATGTGGATGCGTCTAGGGTGGGGAGGCAAGCAGGGAGAGCAGGGCAGTAGATATGAATTCAGAACCCCCGCTCCTGTGCAGAACCAAACTGCCACCAACTGAGTCATCATTCAAATCCCAGAGCTCTGGCTCAAATGCTCACCCCTACCTGGGTCCCTCAAGGGACTGTACCCCTCCAAGTCATCAAGATGGCTTGGTGGGCCCCACCCCAGCTCGCGTCCGACGAGACTACACCATAGCACATCGGCATCACGTTATTATAATAAAGTAACATGTCAGCCTGCCAGGAGAACATGGCCTCCAGTCTCACAAACCTGCAGAAGCCAGCGGTGGCTCTTGCTGACTACAGGATTGTGTCCAAATTCTCCAGCCTGGCGTGAGTGTCCTCTGCACAGACATGTTGTTTCTCCCACTGGTTCCTAAAAGGCCATCTGCTCTACTTGCATTCCTTGGAAGTACTGTGTTTCCCTCCAACTGTTCCTGTCCTCAACCTAGCACCTCCCCCAACCCCGCCTTCCTCACCTGTCCCCATACTGCCCCTTGTGCCAGGCCAGCTCACCTTCCACCTCCGTACGTCCTGGCCATCCCTGAAAGTATCCAGGGATCCTCCCCCATCTAGAAGTCTCCCCTACCTCCTGCATCTCAAAACAAGCCACCAGGTTCTGTGTAAATATTTAGGTGAGGGTTGGGACATGCTCCCTACAAATTGCCGTGTGTGGTGTCAGTGCTCAGTTACTAGAGGAATCCCACTTAAATTCTGCCACCCCCAGGCCCACAGTTACCCGGTCATGCCCATCCTGGCCCCCTCCCACAGGAGCCACCTGGGTGGGCCAGACAGGAAGCTGCCGTCCCTCACTCACCCCGCCTTGCCTCCAGCCTCCATGTGGTTGGCCAGCGTGACATCGTTAGACCAGACATCGAACTGCCACTTCCGGAGGCCAAGGACACCGCAGTGCACTCTCCCGCTGTGAATTCCCACACGCATGTTCACGTTCACACCTGTCACCTCCCGGACCAGCCTGGGGATGGAGCAGGGGTAAGGCTGGGAAAGGGTCAGGGCCAGGCGCAGAGAGTGGGGGTGGCTGGAAGCCATGGGGCCAGGGTGCGTGAGAAGGTGCAGGGGTCAAAGGGTCGTTTCTCTCTGGGCCAGCCCCGATCCAGTGTCTGAAACTGTTCAACCTCTAAACTGTGAGAGCGCTGTTTCCCATCTTGCCCACAAGGTGGCGCAGCACCTCACACTAGAATCCAGGCCCCACTGCTTCCCCCCACAGCTAGGACACCTGAGCCAGCTCAGTCATCAAAGTTGTGTTCTGAAAATGCGCACGTTAGTGCCAATTTGAGTTAACAGGAAAGTTATAGTCACTCCAAACTCCATTTATATAATTGTCAGATTTATCCACATTGCTGCTTCTTCAACATTAGCAGGATGATGGAGAAAGAGAACACAGACCCTGCCCAGGAAAGAAAGGAAACTGGGGCAGGTGCAGGGGACCAGGGGTCTCCACATGCTGGAAGACAGCTCCAACCCCACCACATGCACCATGCATGTACCCGGGGGTCCCCAGTAGATGGGTGGGCTGCCTGTAGGAGGGGGAGTCGGATGGAAGATCTGCAGCTCTGGGTGTGTGTCTGGGGCACAGGAGAGGAAGCCAGTACTCTGGGGGGAGGCTCACATTTGCACTTTTTAGGGGCCTGGACCCTCCCTGACTCCCTGCATACGGGCCCACTCAGCCAGCTGTGGGGCCAGCAGTCTGACTTGGCCTGGTGGGCAGGACCACCATGTGGACTCCAGCTCTTGCCCCATCCTACCACCGAGAGGCTGATATCCACCACAGGGAATACTTAGGTCACCCAGCATTTCTCTCTTCTGGGGATCAACTCTGCCAATACCTTTGCTGGAGCTGTGTCTTCCGTCCACAAGACCTCCGGACACTTGTTTAGGTTAATGTCTCTCATTCTGCCTTTTTGGCTTAACTCCAAGGCCACCTCCTTTATGAAGCCTCCCTTGGTCCTCCCAGTGGAATCAACTGCCCAATCCTGGGCCCTCTGCTGCAGTTTGCCTCTCTTACCTGAGGGGGTCCACTGCGCATGCCTGGTATCAGAGCAGCGGGAGTCCTGGTCTCTCTCCCTCAACAGACTCCATGCTTCTGGCCCCGTGTCTAGCCCAGGCACGCAGGGGAACTCGGAAAACACCACCCGAAAGGAAGCGAGCCAAACAGGATGGACCCAGCCACCTCCTGGGCCAGCTACTCTGACCTCTGACCTTGCCCACTGTGGTTTTTCTTTTGCCCCACCCAGGCTACTTCTAAAACTCACAATTATTAATCCTGGATGCAATCTCTGATCCTCTCCCTTGACTGACTGTAAGCTTGGATTGTCCATGTCGTTTAATGACTGGGGCTTCTTCTGTGGTCAGCAGTGATCAAGAACTGGCCCAAAGATCCTGTTTGCTATTGTTCCCAGGAAGGATGGATTTTCTTAAATGGAAAATTTGTGTCTGCATCCACCTGCCTAGCAGTATTACCCCGGGGAGCTATTTAGCCCCTGTGAGCCCAACCTTTCTCATCTGGGAAGAAATGGGACTGGTTACTTCTTACTTGTCTGAGTGGCTCTGAGAAGACATAGGGGCTAGAGTGGTAGGCCCTCCCACAGCACAGGGCACAGCGCGACTGCCAGCCAGTCCCCCTCTCCTGGGGGGTGGCTCCACATCTCCTGCTGCCCTGGAGTCTGCAAAGTCCTCCCTTCTCCTAGGACAGGTCCCTGTGTGCAGAGCTTCCCAGGCTGCTGCGGACAGCCCAGAAGCCCTGCAGGTGTGGATCAACCCTTCATGGTAGCCAGGGTCCTTGGGACGTGGCTTTGCCCCACTGTTTCCCTGTATCCACCAGTTCAACATGAGTCAATTACTCAGGCTGTGGGACAGCAGACGGGCAGTCCCCTGGAGATGGACATGTCCTTACAGGCGGGCAGTCACCCTGGTGACGGGCACTTACGAGATGGCCTCGATCATGTCCATGCCCATCTCCACGCAGCAGTGGGCATGGTCAGCCCTGGCTTCAGGCAGCCCTGAGACACAGTAATAACAATCTCCCAGGATCTTAATACGTAAACAGTGATTCTCCTGGAAAGCAAATTAATTTTAAAAATTAAAAATAGCAGGAAAGAGAAGTGGGAGGGAAAGAAACAGGAAGCAAACAGATTCACCCTGTGCCTGGAATAACTTGCCTTTTAGGGCAGCGAGCACAGACCCAGGGCTGGCACGAGGTGAGGCCCCAGCACTGGGACAGGCTTATCGGGGGCCGTAGGGGACGGAGGACAGGCCGAACAGCCCTAGAGAAGCACTCCAGCCCCCCAGGCTCAGGAACTCACTTTTATGGCCACAGCTGAGGTCCAGGGAGAATACAACTGGCTCAGTGTGGCAGCAAAGATGGCAGACTCATCAGTGTGAGGCCTCGAGCTGAGAGCAAGGGCCCCATCCCACTCCAGCCCTGGGGCATGCTCCGACTCTTGGCTGAAGGTTCTACTAACAGTTTTGTGACTCTCCTTTTATGAAAGACTGAAGCAGAAACAAGATTTAACTAAATCTCAGCTGACCCTCAGCCTGAAATCTTTTATCCAAGGGAGTTTTGCTAAGCCTGTGAGCACATGTGTGCTAAGACCACCATGAGCGGAAGCCCCCGCCAGATGCAGGGTCACCCCGCAGTCTGCAACTGATGAGTAATTGGGATTGAGATGGACCGCCATTAATCACCAATTCAGAGCTGTCCAAACCTGCATCCCAGAAGTTATTTCATGAAGCTGGGATGCTGGAACCCAAGTATTTGTGTGCCCTGGACTCTCCTTTAAGGCCCTTCCCACGCCCAGGGGCCGAGCCTGTTGCCGTTCACCTTGTCCACGTTCAGTGGTAAAATCCGGGAGGTGTGAGGCCCCCTGTCAATGCCCTCAGAGACCCTGGCACCAGCTCTCAGCTGTGATCTGGCCTGGCATCCTGTGACTGCCCAGGGACATGTCCACATGCCAGTGGACACTGCAGTGTCCCCGATATAGGACTCCAAAGGCAGAGCGTGACTCAAAGTCACAGAGTAAGACAGGGACTAATGAAACAATGTGTCCTTTGCACTCCATGTCCGGGCGGGGGGTGGGGGGGCACTTCTAATCTGTCCCAACGTGGAGGAGTCCTCTTTCTGGAAGTCCCAGGGGTGACACACAGCTGTTTGCAGGCCAGTAGAGATTCAGACTCTTTTTTTTTTTTTTTTTTTAATCACTCTGGCTACCTTCATCAGGAAAGTGACTGTGTGGCACCGAATTTGCTCCCCCAAACACAAATTCCACAAATTCAGGGGTCTGGGTCACGATCCCTGCAGACCTCACCTCCTGTCTGCTGATGGAGGGCTCATTCCCTTCTGGCTGGTGACACCATGGGAGCATCTCTGAGCGTGTGGTTGGGGACGATGCAGGGCATGAGAACACGCAGCCATAGCCTGTGCAGCCCTGCTCACCAGTTCCAGTGGCCGCTCCGCAGCACCCTACCCCAGGCAGCCCGAATCAGGCCACCCTTCCGGCCCTGGCTCAGGCACACAGGGGCCCCAGGGCAGTGGTGGGCGCAGGGGGATGGGGGGGACTCACCGCAGCCAGCTTGTCGAAGCGGGCGAAGAGCTCGTTGAGGGTCATGACCAGCTCCTGGGCAGTGCACTGAGATGCCAGGCTGGTGAAACCCTCGATGTCAGCAAACAGGATGCTGGGGAGACAGGGGGGAAGACCCCCGTGAGGGAAGAAGGTCAGGGGGGGACACAGCCAGGGTCACCCTCTGCCTTAGGAGGACCGCTGGCCGGTGAGAGTCCTGGGAGCTCCGAATGGCTGCTGGGGAGGGGACAGAGACACAGCTGACACTGGTGGCCGTTTTTGCCAGCTGGCGGGGAAATGCTGGGTCAGCCCTTCTCTCTGAATCTCCCTGCACCCTCAACCCCCAACCCATGAGGAAAGGGAAGGCAGAGGCCTGGGAATGTATGCTTCTGCCTGAGGCCACACCAACAGGACTGGGGCCCCCCATCTGATTCCTGGGCAGTGCCCTCAAGGTAGTTGGGTCCAGGAGAGGGTCTTTGGTTCCTCTTGTCTGGAAAGTGTTCAGGCCCTAATGGGAGCCACACAGATGTCTCACTTTCCAACCCCATACACAAGGGAATCCCAGCCCAGGCCCTCCACCCCAAGGGAGTCCTCTAGCATGCCCCAGTCTTTTTGGCACCAGGGACCAATTTCATGGAAGACAACTTTTCCACAGACCAGGGGGAGTGGGGATGGTTTCGGGATGATTCAAGCACATTGCATTTATTGCGCACTTTATGTCTAATCAAATACTGCCATGATCTGACAGGAGGTGCTTGTCCTCAGCCCAGAGGTTGGGGACCCCTGCTCTAGCAGAGACAGAACAAAGAGGCCAAGGGAAGAGGGAGAGGAAGATGCAGCCAGTGAGCACCTAGGGAAGCCCCCCACCTTGTCCCACCAGCTCCTTCGGTCTCACCCCTAAGCCCCTCGGGTGTGCCCGCTGGTCCCTGTATTGTGTGGTGTGATCTTTCGTCTGTTCCTGAGATTCAACATGTCTTCCTTTTCTTTCAAAACAGACGCTCAGAGGTGAGGCCCCGGGGCCAGCACGTGTAAAGGCTCTGAGAGCTTTTTCTTAAAACGGACTCAGAAATATAGTAGCTCTGTGAGCCAAGCTCTTCCTGGTGGCCACGCACAGGGCCTGGGGCCCTCGAGGCAGCACTGAAGGAGGTCCCGATGTCCCCGTCCCAGGACAAGCGGGTGGACCCTCGAGAGGAGCTATGGACGGCAGCGTGGGGGCTCCTCCCCATGCTGTGCTCTCTTCTCTGATCCACGCAGCTCTTGAGGCTCCAGACCGACAGTCTCACTTCACACCGGAATGTAGAACTAAACGTATCTTGTCATTTTATTTGGATACTGTGTGTTTGTGCATGAAGCATGTCTTTTCATTCTGCTGTCTGACATCTGGGGCCTTGCTGACCTGGGGAGCCTGCCCCTCCCAGGCCAGTCAAGTGCTAGAGATGGTTAACCACTTGCCTTAGAGTCCAGAGCCTCCCACCCCAGTCAGGTCCTCACACCTGGGCCATCACTCTCCTGCCCTCATCACCCCAGGGACAGATGCCAGGTGACATGGGACAGTCCTGTGCCCCAGAGCCCGCCGACATTATTCTAAAACAGACGATCAGAAGCCTGCTGACTCTCCCCTTCCTGTTCATTCCTGCAGAAACCACAGCAGAGGTTTTGCCCACGTTTCTCCTCACTCTACCTCCTGACAGATCCCTGTGTATCCCCGAGTGCTCCCCCCACACGGCACAGTGCACCCTCTCTTCTCAGGACCTGTGAGTAACAAACTCTCTTTTCAATGGCAGCTGTCTCCTGATCTGTCAGCCTCATCGTACCTGGATAATAACACAGGTCTTAAAACCGTTGGACACTGTACTAAACCTTTTACATGTATTAACTCATTTAAGCCTCATCACCACCCTATGAGGTAGGAATCCTTTTATAGGTAAAAAAACTAACAGAGAGAGAGGTCAAGTCAGCTGCCCAAGGCCACACAGGAACCTGGCTCCACAGGCCAGGTGTTAAGCCAATAAACGTTACACTGTCTATTGACCCCACCATCATCTTAAGTGAGTAAAAGCATAATGCTCTGGTCTGGCACTGTATATGGGGTGGAGGGAGGTGGAGGGGTGGGTGTGGGCTGCCACAGGTGGGCAAGTGCAGAACTCCATCACAAGGGGACACGCTGGGCACCAGTTTACACGATGGGAAGTGGGAGCGCCTCCTGGGGCTTGGGCCAGGCAAGTACAAGAAGAGTGTGAGAAGGCAGCCCCTGGGCTGGAGTTCAGTGCTGCCTCCTAGCTTCCCGGCTCCACCAGCCACTCTGATCCCAGTGGAGACCAGCAGACAAGTTCAGAAGGAAAGGCAAAGAGGGTGGCAGACCTGGGGGAGCTGGTTCGAGAGGAGACAAATGAAGGGGAAGGAAGAGAAGGTAAGGAGTGAGAGGAGTGGAGAGACTGTGGGTGAGCCCACAGGACTCAGGAATCAGTCCAGCAGCTCCAGAGGGCAGCCGCAGGGCAGGGGCTTGGAGCCCCCATGAGGCTCTGATGCCTGGCACCTGGAAATCCACACTGATGATGATCCCGGCTCTTTAAGTAAGTGCTGACCACAATTCGGCCCACCAGCCACCTCCCTGGCTCTCAGCCTCTCCGGCAGCCCCACCCCACCCAGGAAAAGGGAAAGGTCTCTCCCAGTCTATGTGAAAGAACCGTTATACAGCTGTTCTGGAAATTATTCTTTAACTTTCAAGAAATCAAAACCAGGGGAAGTTGGAGTCAAGATCAACTGCTCAGTCAAGGAACACCTTTATAAGCACCAGTGTTTTGACTTCAAAGCTGGCAGACACCAGGCCCATGGGCTGTTCCACACTGGATCCCAGGCTACACAACAGAAGCCTGACTTTGGGGGTTGATTAGTCTCTGCCATGGTGGGAAGGAAAAATAATTCCTAACTCAGCTCCTAGGAAGAAAGGCTATGACCAACCTAGACAGTGTATTAAAAAGCAGAGACATCACTTTGCCAACAAAGGTCCGTATAGTCAAAGCTGTGGTTTTTCCAGTATTCATGTACAGATGTGAGAGCTGGACCATAAAGAAGGCTGAGTGTCAAAGAATTGATCATTTCGACTTGTGGTGCTGGAGAAGACTCTTGAGAATCCCTTGGACAGTAAGGAAATCAAACCAATCAATCCTAAAGGAAATCAACCCTGAATATTCAATGGAAGGACTGATGCTAAAGCTGAAGCTCTAATACTTTGGCCACCTGCTGTGAAGAGCCAATTCATTGGAAAAGACCCTGATGCTGGGAAAGATTGAAGCCAGGAGGAGAAGGGGACAACAGAGGATGAGATGGTTAAATGGCATCATGGACTCGATGGACGTGAGTTTGAGCAAGCTCCGGGAGATGGTGAACGATAGGGAAGCCTGCTGTGCTGCCATCCATGGGGTCGCAGAGTCAGACACGACTGAGCAACTGAACAACCTGGAAGAGGCAGGATTGCTGCTGGGCAGGGTAACCCACAGCACCAGGCTCAGGAGGAGAGGGGAGGAGGACAAGCACGAGGCAGACATGTGTGGACCAGGGCTCAGGGGGTCTTGCTTCACTGCATCCTCAGCCCACAGCTGCCTGAGCTCTCCCAGCCATTGAGCCAGGAGGGCCTCTGCCTGCCGCGTACGGATACGGGCAGGCCTGTCACCAGTCTCCTCCACAGGCACCTGACTGGGCTTTGGAGAACTCCTTTCTCCACTGCAGCTCTCATTCACTAAACTGGTGGTTCTCAGACCTGGTGTCCATCAGAATCCTCTGGGCGCTTTTCTATGGAGAAGTTCCGCCACACCCCAAGAGACTCTGACTTCATCGGTCTGGGACAGGGCTCTGCTATTGATTGTTTTTGTTCTATTTCATTGTAATCTTCCCTGGTGATTCTATATGTAGCCAGGGTTAAGAACCACTGTACTAGTTTAAGTTACACCTTCTCAAGGCTTCCACCACCCTGCTTAAATCTACAACCCCTCCCATACGTCTATCCCCCTTCCCTTCTGTATCTGTCTCCCCTTCTGTATCTGTCTCCACTGCATTTTTACCACTTAACCTGTTAGCTATCTTGCTATTGTTATTTATTGTCACGCTCCTGTCTCTCTCCACTAGAATGTAAAGCCTTTGAAAGAGGAGTTTTGGTCTATTTCATTTAGTGCCACATCCTGGCCCCTAGTACAACGTCTGGCAGACAGAGGAACTGCTCAGTGAAATTTGGAATGACTGTGTGAATGAGGACAGGTCACATCCACCATGCCCTCTTCTCTGTCCAGCCCAGTTCAACACACTCACACACCCAGCACAATACCCAGCACATGGTAGGCACCTGTGTTAGCTTCCTAGGGCTGCTATAACAAAGAACAACAAACTGGGTGGCTTAAGACAACAGACATTTCTTTTCTCAGTTCTGCCCAGCAGGCAGGAGGCTAGAAGTCTAAAGGTGAGAAATCTGAAGTCAAGGTGTTAGTAGAGCCATGCTCTCTCTGAGACTCTGGATGGAATACTTCCTTGCCTCTCTACCTTTCAGGAGTGGATGTCAATCCCTGTACTCCTTGGCTTGCAACTGTGTCACTCCAGTCTCTGTCTCTCCCTGCAGAAGGAGTTCTCCATGTGTATCTGTGTCTGCATGACATTTTGCTCTTCTTATAAGGGCACCACATATATTGGATCAGGGGCCCACCCCCTCCAGCATGCCCTCATCTTAACTTGACTTCACTGCAAAGACCCTATTTCCAACTCAGTTCACGTTCACAGGTCAGGACTACGTATCTTTTAGTTTTAGTCAACTAGTCGTATCTGACTCTTTGTGACCCCATGGTCTGCAGCCCACCAGGCTCCTCTATTCATGGGATTCTCCAGTCAAGAAAACTGGAGTGGGTAGACATTCCCTTCTCCAGGGGATCTTCCCAATCCAGGGATTGAACCTGGGTTTCCTGCATTTGCCCACAGATTCTTTACCATTTGAACCACCATCTTTTAGGAGAACACAATTCAACCTACACAATGTCTAATATATATTTGTTGAATAGAAGAGATTAATTATAATTTAAAGCAAGGAAGAAGCAGGCTCAGTAACTCCAGTAGCTTGTCCTTCTATCACAG